AACGAAAAACAGCGAGAAAAGCGAGAAAAATCAGAGGAGTGTGTGGGCAACGATAAATTCGTATAAATCGCGTTAATTTAACCGCAAGCGCAGTTTAAATAACTCAAATGGCTGGGAAAGCTGTTTTCCTGCTTTTCCGACTGGACCCGCACCTAAGCTTGATAAAATGTCGCCGCAAAGCTCAAGACAAATAACACCACCCACACCCCGAACGATGGTTTTCCTCGAAGGAAAAGTTGCCAGGACTGCGGAAAAACGATTGGAATCTAGAGAAATTACGTTCTGAAATGTTTGCCACAATTTGTTTTGCTTTATAATGAGTTGTTTTGTATGCAAGGACAGACTTGCCACCGCCGCCTGAGCTCCAAATGGACGGAAAACGTGGAAATGTGGAAATGTGGAAATGTGGGTGGCATTTGGCAGCCAAGAGGCCATTTAAAAGTTATCCGCTTCGCTTCTCATTTTAACGCTTTCGCCTCAATAATCCGGTCAAGTGTTGGCCGGCGATGTTAATTGTTCTCGATTAATTCACCCAATAATTGCATTTAATTGTGATTGCCTGCTAATGCCAGGCGATCATTAATAGATTTGTAACACTTTAAGACGTTTACACCTCCAAGATCAGTTGGCTGCACATTGTTAACTTGATACCATTGCGAAACCATTGTGTAATTCTTAATCATTTCATTTGATTGCAAAGGGGTGGTTATGGAATCGTATATGTAAAATATTGAAGGAAGATGGAATGATAGAGATATGGTATTTAAAAATACTTAAATAGTAGTATTTTTTATGTACCAAATTATAGCACATTTTTGTTAAAAAAAAATAACAGAAATGTTACTGCTTTGATTTAAATTTGAGTAGTTTTACTATTATATTTTGGGGTACCAGCTAAAAATTCCTTTTAATTTTGTTAAACCATATTCTTATTTAGAGTAAACGTAGTTACTTCTTATTTACACTTAGTATTTTTCTTAGTATTCTTATTTAAAGTAAACGTAGTTACTTGTTATTTACACTTAGTATTTTTCTTAGTATTTTTTGTGTTGCAATATAACTTTTTATCGATCTAAAGAACTCACAGATAATCAATAAATATATTTCCCCTAAATGTATTTAAGAATTCTTATCTGACCTCAATAAACTAAGTAATTGTGTGGGCTGGCATTGAAAAAAAAACTTGGTCTTCTGCTTTTTTAAGGCCAAACTGGCAATCGAGGCCGAAAGTGCCGGCGTGGCCTCAACTTTCCTTTGATGGCTCATTTGAAGCTGCGCGAGGCAAAGGGATTATTGTGTCCTTGCTCATTTAAGTTTGCCTTTAAAAGTTTTGCTTCATTTGCTGCTGAAAAAGTTGAATATAAACTTTCCTAAGGCTTCGCTGGCTCCCATTTTTCCCCTCCCCCTTCCCCCCATTTCTCTTTTGAAGGTGCGACCCTTGGAAACCCTTGGCAAAAAAAAAAGAAAAAAAGGGGAAAAAATAAAAGAAGAAAAACCCCCGGCGACATAAACGTTAATTGTTGTTGGTCATGACATAAGAGCCACCATGAAAATGGCCAACACAGCCAAATGACATTGCTACGAAAATACAATTTTCGCTATGCATAAAGTGCTTTAAAGGAGGAAGCCGTCGAGGCAGGACTCTCCTAATGAACTAGCAAGGATATGCGGCGAATTGAACGTCAACTGAAATTCAGCCGAGCGAAAAGGATTGGGACACGTTTCTGCAGAAGGCCTAATCAAAGCGACAGTTGAAATGCGCCAAAACACACACACACACACATACACAAACACACACACACACTTCTCGGAAATACTCAAATACACATTCGCCCAAAAACACCCATATAAATTTATTTGCGAGAACAAGGTCAAATAGTAGAGTCACCCGAAATATTACGGCTGAACGATTGCCTCTTTTCTGTTGGCCAACAAATCGGCTTCAACTCGAGTTTCAAATCCAATCAACAGAAAATAACTTTCACTTTACTGAACTGAAAAATGAAAATTCAGGACACGCTTAAAGTATTCTAAAAATAAAATACAGATATTTATTCGGAGGTCTAAAAATTTGACTATCAACTGGTGTTTAGGTTGAAGAATCTTTAGTTAGTGATTTTATTTCCATAGTTTCTTCTTATTTTGTTTCCAACTCTTTATTAAAAATAGTTGACAAAGAAAAAGGTATTTTCTTCGCAAGTCAACCATAAGTTTTAGTTGATTCAAGGACTTAACCATATGTTAAACTTCTTACTTGAACTTTTTATTGGGAAACATTATCAAATGATATAGAATCCCCGCCACTTTTGGCATTACGTGCGTTTGCATAATCAGAGAAAAAAGTCCCCGAAAACCTTAATAGCATTCCGAAACTGAAAAAACCGGATTGCGAGAAGCAAAAAGCGAAACAAAACCAAGCCAATGACAAAAGTAAACAAATGAGAACGTAATGGAAACCTTACATGAAAACCCATTAATCTTGGCTCTGACGCAACTTGCACGCAGGTGAAAAGCAGGTGAGAATGGGGATCGGGGGCCACAGGAAAGATTAGCCATGTTATTGTGCAATGGCCAATCAAAACCCGACCAAGAGCACACGAGATGATGGCATCAGTTTTCCTTCGGTCCCAGTTCACCTGTAGCTTTCCCACTCCCATTTTCTCCATTTTCCCACTGAAAGCATTTATGGCGATTCAACTGGGGAACGAGGAGCGTAACGCAAAGTTTTATAACATCAGCGGTGACATGGCTATTTATATTCCTTTTCATGCAGGTTGTCATCCAGTTTGTATATATCTAATACATATAAGCTTATAATCATGCGTCACTTTTTAATAAATAAACAGCTTTTAACAACTCACATATAACAAAAAATCAGATCAAATCTTTGACTTGTGATTGCAAAGTTAGTTCGCTTTGTATAAGTAATATTTGTAAGCATCGGAATATAAATTAATTAAGAAAATAGATTAAACAATTATTGTATTAATCATACCACCTATATTTATGTATATCACATTTTATTGAATTTTAATACCACCCACTGATAGCTATAAAAAATTTAATGAACGACAAATTTATTCCTTTATCCATCCTGTTTTTTATTCCTGCAATTCGCCGCCCACCAGAAACATTTGTTTTACTTTGTAATATTGCCAACCCGCTCGTCCTTTGAGTTTAGTCCTCAAACTCCTCGAAATTATTTGCCTTTGCCTTTTCACCGTCGGAGGACAAGGACGAGTGGCAAAACACTCCCATGTTGATGGGTGGAGCGAATGAAATTTAAAACCGAGACGCCTTTTTAATGCATGTGTACTGTGTACGGGCACTGTGTGCACGTCTTCCTTAGAGGAATTAAATTAATGACAAACAATTTCTCATTGTCTTTTCGCTGTTGCGTACTTAGCACGCGCCGGAAATGTATCCATATCCGTTTGAAATTTTCCATTGTTTTCCCGCTGCACACACAAAGTCGCTGGAGCGGCGATAAAGAGGTTCCAATGCACTCAAAAAAGCAAACAATAATCTTTATTAACAAAATGGGAAAAACTATAAACATGGCAACATTTAAAGTAAGCATACATTTAAGCTTATATTGCATTTTAACTCCTATAAGTTTAATTAAATTTTCTGAAATATTTATATATATATACTTAATCGAAAAATCTAAATAACTTTGTTGAAGTGTAAGTTAGGGTGTTTTCTGGCAGTGTGGAAGCCGTATAAAAGGGTGGCAATGTAGGAACAACGAGGCTTGGGACCAACAGCAAATCGTCCTTAAGTGGCGGCAGTGAAGCCTCGCTAACTGCAAACTGCTAACTGGCAACTGTCGGAGGACCGCCATTAGGCCCACCACTTAACAAGGACCTGGGATCGCACATTAACAGTCGTAAAACTTACGACGCGGCCATTGCAAACTATTAGCAATCATTGACAGCTGTGTCCTTTTTTATTTGTAGCCACCAAAGAAGAGAAGTCCAAAGGATTCTCTTTAATTTTCAACAGATTGTCATTTGAAAATAGGATTAAACAATTCCTATTTCTCTAACTAATAAAGTGTGTTGCAATTTAGGCATTTTATTTCGTTTTTGAAAGCCTACAAGAAGAGGTATACAACATTTAAAACAGGTTTCGATTTAAAACCCCTCTGATCACGCTCCAAAAATTATCTAAGCCAAAAGCTATCAATTTTTACTGCATTTCCATGGCAAAGAAACCGCAAAGACCTGTTTAATCAATTGATGAATTGTGGTGCTGCAATCCTCAGACTCTGCAGGCAAATTATTCAAAACCTTGGCTCGACTGAGCTTGCGGTTTTGCTTACTACCTTCTAAGCAGGATAAATGCATTTTAAAACGACAATTCAGCCAGGAAATAAAGTCCAAAGGGATTAGATAGTACCAAGATGGCCAAAGTGCTTTTGGGGGAAAGTCTTTTCAATTTATGTGAAGGTAAACTTACACATACACAACAATAAATGGGTGAACATGAGAAAACTATGCTTCGCAGTTGTAATTTTTCATTCAAAATCTATAAACTAAAAATACCTAAATATTCATCAAGAATTTTGAACTCTTAAATACCACCAGAGTTTAGTTCCACCCCTTGAGAAAATATAATTGAAAAGGTGTTTAAAATTCATAATAACGTCTGTCATTAAATAGTTTCTAAAAGTGCCTGTGGTATCAAGTCCCAAATCTCTTGATCCCCACATTTGAAGACTTTACTGGACATCTGGGAGTTTTCCCTGGTCGGTTACATGTGCTCCGGCAACAAAAGGCATTTGAAAGCAATTTCACTTTCATTATTTAACGAAAAATTCCACAAAAATGTCGACCGCCCCCTTGACAATGTCATTTATTTCGACTAACCAATGATAAATGCGAATTTCTTTCTTCGCTTTCGTTTGCATTGAACTGGAAATATTTTGACAGACGAACGAATGTATAAATTACCGGCAAAACACACTTTAGAGAAAGCCAAAGCCAAAGCCGACTTACCTGGCCATTTTGTGTCCTTGAAAGCGTTCTCCTTGAATGTGATTTGGTTTGTCCTTCGTTGCGGTCGCAATTTCGAGTGAAATCAACATGCAGGATGATGATGATGAGGGTGCCCCTGGTGCTCCTGATGCTCCTGGTCCTCCTGGTCGTTCTCTTTCTTATCCGGCTCCTTGAAATGCCACCGACTACCACTGACTGTGTCCCAATATCCAGATGAAAAGCAGCCACTTAGATCGTTTGTCTCTGTCTAAGGAGTCCCTTGGTTTCCCTCCTGTTTTGCTCAGCCTCAGTTGGTTGATTGAGTTTGAGATTTATGCCTTAAGTGCTGCTGGGGGATTTGTTATCTTGTCCTTTTTGGCCTGGCCTATACGCATATCGTTTGTTTGTTTGCCTTGCCTTCTTTTCTGTGGCTCTGATTCCGCTGCAAATGGTAGAACAAAAACTGTTTTATAGTTGATGATGATGCAGATGATGATGATGATGCCATGCGGTCTCCCTTTTGCTTTCAATTTACATAAGCAGCGGCATCATTAATATTGCAAATGTGTGTGTGGTCGGTTACACGGAAAAACCAACTGGGTATTAATGAACTACAAATTATAAAATGTTGTTGAGATTGATTTACAAAAGCCATACTTAAATGGGAATGATATACACACAAAGAATTTTCTGCTTTACAGAAGCATTCAAAATATTTCTTTAGGATGCTTGTTGAAATTTATAAAATAAACCTTAATTTATTCTAACCAATTTAGGTGTATATAAAATCGTGAGATTTTTCCAAGTTTCTTTGCGTGACGGTCTCTGTTTGCTATGAGCACTTCTGTAATTTCATTTCCATCCTTAACAAATTTAGCTTGTTGCAGACATTTATCATACGCCCTGTGTGCCATGCGTTCTTCCCACCATAAATCACTCAGTTCCCCCCGACTGCCTCTCCTCTTCGAGAGTATCCCTCCTCGAAATAAAATGACCAAATGCAATTATAATTCGCCATTCAAACAACTTTTAATGCTAACTGACAGCTGCCCAGAATCTGGTCGACGATATCCATCGATTCGATTTTGTTGTGTTGTTTTATGTTTAGTCGAGTTTTATGGATTGCGGGATGATTGATTGTCCATCAAGCGGAGAGAAGCTATATTTCTGATAGCACAAACATGTATGAACAATCATTAAAGGTGCCTACATTTTAGGTAAATAGTCGATAGTTGATATAGAAATTATTTAATAGTTAAATATAAAAAACCAGTCAAATACTTTTAAACTTTCTGAGATCTTTCCACGAAATATTTCATATTTTGATTGAGTAAAACAGAAAGTTTTCCTTCAACCGATTTAAGGGCAAATTGTTGTTCCAGAACCCGATAAATAAAGCGGGACTAAACAGAATATGTACCGTATAAAGCCGAAAAACAAGACCATTACCAGAGTTCTTTTTATAGCCACTCGCCCCCTTTTCGGGGTTCCCAAACCCAAGGAAAGGGCTCGATAAGGAGGTTAGGGCGGTTGGGGGTCGAGGCGTGTATTATCAGCTGTTTCCCATTATGACTTCAGCGGAAATACACAAGCGAGTGGAAAACAGTCGAGGAAAAGTTGACGGAAAAGCGGAAGCAAAAAAAAAAAGAACGCCTCTGGCAATGGAAACACAGTAACACACTGAGGCTCGAGCACAACACTTGCTTACACACGCAAACCGATAAAAATAAAAACAAAAACCATGGAACGAAAAGCAAAAATTGGAACTAAATGCGTATACGTAATGTGATAGAACCCAACCCCCACTTCCGCCCGCAAAAAGAGGACTACAAAGATGTATGTAGTGATGAAGCAAGGGGAAAAACAATGGCGACGTTGACGACGACGCTGGCACTTCTCAAACAACCGAAAACAAAGGGCAAATGTGGGCCGAAACCTTAAATACCTCTCTCTTGGTAACCTTTCTACGTATTTCTTTTGAAATTTGAAACAATTTGAATGAATTTAAGTAAATAAATCGGGTAAAGCAATTCTTTAAATCATCCTTTCTTAATTACTTGCGGAAAACTTCTGTTAACATATTAAAAAAAAAACACAAAATTAAAAGTTTTCGCTACATAGTAAAAATATTTTTATAAAACCATTAATTTGTTATTTTTAGCATATAAAGTATTTAAGCTAGTATTTTAGTAAAAGATTAAGCAGAACTATTATTTATAAGAACCACTAACCATTTACCTTTCTTGAAAAAGTAAGATACCCCTGGCATAGACAAGAGCAATCTGAAATGCCCACGAAAAAGGGCAACAAAAAACAGAGCCAAAGGGAAAATCAACTTTTCGTGGAAGAGCCGTGATGAAAATCGAAAACCAAGAAAGGCGGAAGACAAAAATACTAGAACTACACACTCACAATGCTACTTAAGCCCGGACACACACACACATTCACATATAGCACACATTGAACTGAGTGGAACCTCCAGTGGCAGATGCCATGGCAAAAGAGAGAAAGAGATAGAAGGACACAGGAGGAGCGACAAGGATGGGGAGAAACAAACAGTGGGACACAGAGCTTGTCACTTTATTTGGCTCGATTTCAATGCACTGCCAACTCAGGCATATTAGTATGCAAAACTGATAATCAATAGGCGAGGACTCAATGCCCGGCGCTCAGTGGAGATTATGGCGCAATTTGCATACAGACATGTGCCAGTCGAAGATGTCGCCGTTCCCTAAGCCCGAAAACCCAACGTAAACCCACTGAAACCCCCTTCAAATCATCCTGGGAATATTTCCCCCCACGAAAGGACCAACTGCAGTTAGCATCGTTTAATTGAGTCGGTCCATCGGTCCATCGCAATTGGACCACTCATCCGCTAACTGACAACACACTAATGTTTATTGTGTGAAGCTCGATTTTTTGCCCGTAATTGAACCACGCGGAAATGACACTAAAAAGCTTTCAGTCTAACTTGGCCCGCAGCCATAAAATGATCGACCAAAGTTTCGAAATTAAAGGAAAATGTCAAAAATGTTTTACCAACCCTTTCAGGTTCCTTATTAGATAATGTAATTGTATTTATTATTTCGTTATAAATAGCTAGTGACAATAGCTATAATATAAAAATGGAAATTAAAAACATTTGGTAAATGTTATACTTGTTTTATTTTGGTTTATCAGGTTTAAAAGTTAATAAGCTATATTTAAAATATAAACTAGTTTTTATTCGAAACATTTATCGTATTTATTTTCTTAAGGACGTTCTGTTCCCAAATGTTTGTGATGTTAAAACCTGTTATAATAAAACGTTATTGAACATTCTGAGAAGGAAACCCAAAACATGAATTTCCCAATAACATTACAAGAAATTTCGAGATACATTTATATACACAACAGCTGAAGTAGCATTCTAAATTAAAGCTTTCTTAATATTTATGAAATGTGTGCAAAAGCACATAAATATGAAATTCGATACCTTTTTCAATGCTACCTTACGACCTTTCCCGTGAAATTTTTCAATAACTCTCTGGGGGTTTTATGACCGCAATTTGCAATTTATCATCAATTTGATGTGCAAAGGGCCAAACATAAAAGTGGTCCAAATGGTGAATGTAACAAAGGGCAATAAAAGCGGTTATGACTGAACCGAGGGACTGTCCCCTAACCATATCCATAAGTGGAAAGCTTGGTTTTCTATTGATTTCTGGTCAGAAACTTGCTGCAATCACCTGAAATTCTGAGTCAAATGCACCTGCTGCTTTAACACACAGAAAAACTTGGAATAATGTTTTTTGAATATGAAAAACTTCTCAGATAAGCAATTATTGTTATCATAATTAAGAAACAAGTGTAGTAATTAAACAAATCTTATCAAAAAAACAAACAAACTATAACAAATTATTTTGATGTAATATTGAATACATTACAACTTGTATTCTTGACAGTAATTTGTTTTGCTATTTTCCTTAACAATCTTTATTATAGTAAATTCATGATAAGCTCTGCTTAAAGAAAAGGCGAAACAAAGAAAGTATCAAAGTTTAATTTTATTTTTTTCGAGTGTTCTTGCGCTGTCTCTTCGGGGGAACAACGAAAACTATAGCATACTTATGGGCCGCTTTGAGAGACGCCATAAGACGCTTAATAACTGTGAGTAGTGGCGAACCGGGAGGGGCGCTGTTCGTGGTGGGGGCGTGGCAAGGACATGGACGGCGGATTGAGGGTCCTCCGTCCGATGTACGTGCCAATGGCCGTAGTCGCAGTAATAAACACACGCACAGCCCAGTTAACACAGAAATATGCCCCAAGTGTCAGGGCGGGCAAAACATGCGATGATGAGTGGAGCGGTGGGAAAAGCGAGGGAAAGCCCAAGGAAATGGGAAATGGATTTTCAGTGGCCTTTGTTTTTGTGTTTTTTTTTTTCTGTTTCATTCTTGTTTTTCTTTGTTTTTTTTTTTGTGTTTTATAATTACTCTGATAGAGCTTGTTTCTCCATGTATGTGTGTTTCTGTGTTATGGTAAGCACACATAACGGTAATTTAATTAACATACATAAGCGCACACACACACACACACACACACACACAACGACACACACAAAACAGGGTATGTGGCACACAAAGAAAGGTGAAAGGAGAGGGGAAGTTCTTTGAGGCACTTACAAAGCGTTTCGACAAACTTTTTGACTTCTTTTAATCGATATTTGATTTGGGGGGTTAAACGCGTTTTCAATTTAGACATTAATAACTTCCGAAAGCACTTTATATTTTGAATTATTTGCAATAATTTTGATTATTGATTGAATCAACAAGCACACAAATTTGGCTATATTATGATAATATTTATTTTAAATTTTAACTATTTATATTTGGGGTGTGTTTACAGGTTTGTTTTTGGTTTGGTTATATTCTATTTGTTTTTGAGTGGTTTGCCGCCGGATGTTGCACGTTTTGCCACCACTTCCGTTTCCTGCGTTGCGAGCGAACCAACCGTCGAGAAACGCGTTCCGCAAGCGAATAAACAAAAGGATTTCCACCGCTTTTCCTCATAATTCCACTGCCAGTGTTGCCGTGCTGCAAGTCCTGCGCAGTGCAAAACTGAGAGAGATTCTGGGAGGGAATAAGCGCTCTCTCATTCTCTTGCCCTCTCCCTCTTTAAAGTGCAACCTGCTGACGGAACATCTGTGTTTTTGTTATTATGCCTTCGTCAGCAGCAATAGCAACACTTGCAGCCATTCAATTGCAATTGTGGTAACCAAACATACAGGCATTTCAATTACAGTTACTTGTGTGTCGGGGTCACCGAAATAACTGCCGACTAATTGATGGCACACAAAGGGTTTACGGGCTTATTTTGATTGATAGTAAACTGTTTTGGTGTACAGAGGAAATAAAATGGAATGGTTGATTTTTGGTAGTAAAATATTAAATATGGACATTTTGATTTATAATAATTAATAAATAATCAACAAAAAATATATTATTTTGTATTTTTCTTGTTTTAAAAATAATATTGGTTTCTTATTAACATTAAAAAAAATATATATATATACATACCACTTTTAATTTCACCATAGTTTGAGTCACAAACACAAAACTTTGGGTATGATAGCTCAAGTTCAGAGCCTTTCTTTTTGCACGACGATTCCCACACAAATGCAGATGGAAGTATCTGTGTGAATTTGGGGCCTCGTCGACGGCTGCCTAATGTCAAGGTTTTTTGGCTGCTTTCGAAAGTGCAGCAGCAGCTGGAAAATCCGAAACAGCCGAAAGAGCACGGCACGTGGCCAACCCACCGAAGGGGAGGGGATTCAAGGGGGTTGATTATGCCATTACCAGGCCAATCCTGCACCTTGCCCCCCTGCACACCATCTCCCCCTTTCCCAAAATCCCCCGGACTGTTCTTCGCATGAATGAGCAAAATTGTCGCGACAAACCCGATTCGAAAGCCAATGTCAAGTGCACGAGGCAGCAAGGATATGGAGGCATGAGCACTTTACATGCACCATGACACCCCACTGTCAGCCCTCCTTTCACTACGCCTCTGTCCATGAAAGGTACAGTGAAGCTTCTTTACCATACACCGTTCCTTTTTAATACTTGCACTTTATGAACCCTTAATGCTGCAACAGTAAAATTAAAAAACCAATCGTCCAAAGTTATTCTATACAAACTGTATCCAAACATTCAATTTATTGCGAATGGTGCTCCACAGGGAGCATTAGGTCGGTTGCTTTTGTGACCCCCAAATTGGATGGCACACTCACGTAAATGGGCGTGTATCTATATTTTATGGGCCATCGATTGCAGCCAATTCCTCCTCTTACCCATTACCTCCCCTCACACAAAACGCGTTTTAAGCATAATGATCTATGCAGGACATAACACAGTACGCCAGGCATATTCCACTTATTACTTAATATGTAGTTATTATAAGCACAATATTTGCTCGCGTTAAACATCAATTTGTGTTTAATTTATGGAAAGTGAAGCATAGTTTATTCAGCTGGCAGAAGCAGATTAAGCTGTTTGCGTTTGTATAAAGAAAAAATATTTCAGTTGAAATTTTTAAAATTTTAGTATCGATTATTAGTTGATTCCTCAAAATGTAGGTTTCATTACCTCAATCTGTTAATATTTGTTTATGACTAAAAAACAGATAAGATCAAACCCACGGTACTTGCTAAACAGGTACCCTCTTAGAAAAAATGTATTCCATATTTAAACTACCTTAAATATGCAAATTTAAAACGAAGTAAACCCCACAAAGATTAATACAACTTACTTTTCACATTTGTTATTTATTCAATGCTGTTTATTATTTCATGTAAGTTTTGAACTTAATTATTAGTAATAACCTAATGCGAATAAAATACAATTATCTTGTTTAACTGTTGCTGTCTGACTTTCAGCTGCAGAGGATTGGCTGCTTAGCGTAATTATGTTTACTTCTTAGAATTCCCTTGAAAATCTCTATAAAACTAAAAACTTAACTCATAATTCAGGCTAATTTCGAGAAACGACGTATTAACGCAATCAAATTTTATAAACGTATAAGAGCTTGAAATGCGTACATAAATAAATTACATTTGGGTTTCTATAGCTACGATCTACTTCTAAGGAACAGGCCACGCCACAATACGTTTACGACCAGGTTTTGGGTACACTGAACGGTCCGAACCGCTGGTGGTTGTCCACCCCTCGCACCGCAAAGTAATACCTCTGGTTCTCCTGGAACTGGTTGAGCGTTACGGCCATCGGCAACAGCATGGCATGCACATCGCCCACATGCCGCCAACTTTCCGTGCTGGGCTCGTGGATTGTCTCCTGGTATGCATAGATCTGGTAGGTTACACACTCCGCGAATCGTGGACTGGTATCCTCTAGCGTCCAGGAAATAACAATGCCGGTGTCCAGCAAACTGATCCGAATTACCGGTCGCGATGGCGGCATTTTCCAGGCAGCATTAAAGGGTTGGGCAGGAGACGAGGGTAGTGGCGCCGGGTGAGAGTACCTCAGACGCGAAGAAGACGGCGGGGTGTTCTCCGAACGGATCTGCATGGTTACGTTTGAGCCTCCGGAATTTCGCTGACCTAAGAATTATTTTAAGATATAGTTAGTAACAGGTTTAAGGTATGAGATGATTTGAACCCACCTCCTCCATTATTTTGGACTAACTGTCGGGCATTCACACGTCCCAATTGCATCGGTGACGCTCGGACCACATTTCCGCCTCCTCGACCTCCTCTTGCCGCTGCCGCCGCCTGAGCAGTCCGCTTTACAGCCGCATTGGACGCCTGGCGAAGTCGAGCATTTGCCTCAATTTGCGCCTGGTTCGCCTGGGCAGCCTTCGCTGCCGCTGCCGCCGCCGCCGCTGCATCATCCTCGTCCGTGAGGTCAATGACCGCCTTTTCCTTGGGCTTCGCCGGTGCTAAGCTGGGCTGCTGCTGCTGCACATAGGCTGCGGATCCCGCTCCACTGCCGCTGGCAGATGACATGGGCACCGAAACTGTTGCACCGGAAAGAGGAGGCTGCTGAGGGCGCACTTTCGTTGTGCATTTGGGCGTCTGTTTCGCGGGAGTTGCACCAGGACCGGAACTGGGACCAGGGCGAGGTCTGCAATACAAAAGAGATCAAGTTAATAAAGTCTCCTTGGATTAAGTGTATTCCGAAAGAGGGTATTTGTAAATACTTTACTTTTACTTTTCTTTTTATTGGGTTGGCAAGAAAGTCATGTCGTTTTTTTCCAATATTTTCAAAGATGATTTATTTATATCAGGACTTATAATTAATCAATTATGTATTGGCCGTTTTGTTCGACCACTAATGACCATCTTTCGGACAGCTGCATAATTAAGCGCTCGAAGAACTTTTGGTCTTTTCCAGCAAAGAATCGAGATAAGTGGTTTTCGACAGCCTCATCTGAATCAAAGTTTTTACCATTCAAAGAGTTTTGAAGAGAGCGAAACAAATGGTAATCTGGAGGTGCTAAGTCCGGACTATAAGGTGGATGTGGTAGCACTTCCCAATTCAGCTCCGTTAATTTTTTCCGAGTGACCAAAGATGTGTGGGGCCTAGCGTTGTCATGGTGAAAGACTATACCCTTGCGATTAGCTAGTGCCGGCTCCTTTTCTTTAATTTTTTCCGCCAAATTGAATAGCTGGCGACAGTACACATCTGAATTGATGGTTTCATTCCGTCCCAGCAGCTCAAAGTGCACTACACCCTTCCAATTCCACCAAACAGACAGCATAACTTTCTTCTGATGGATATCGGCCTTTGATGTGGCTTGGGCTGGCTCATCTTTCTTGCTCCATGATCTTTTTCGTTGGACATTATTGTAAACAACCCACTTTTCGCCGCCAGTAATGATCCGCTTCAAAAAAGGATCGTTTTTAATCCGTTGCAGCAGAGAATAGCAGATGTTGATACGCTTAGTTAGGTGAATTTCCTTTAAGTTATGCGGAACCCAAACATCGAGCTTGCTTACGTAGCCAAGTTTCTTCAAATGGTTTTCAACCGTTGTATGCGACACACTGAGCTTCTCTGACATCTCCCGCGTTGAATAACGCCGGTTTTCATCCAGCAAAGCCTGAATTTGATCGTCAAAAACGGCCGATGGTCGACCAGAACGTGGGGCGTCTTTAACTCCAAAATCTCCAAGCCTGAATTTGGCAAACCAGCGCTGACATTGGCGATCACTCATGGCATCTTTACCATACACTTCGCACAATTTTTCCCGAGCTTACACCGCTTTCCTTTTTGGAAGTAAAAAAGCAAAATATGCCGAAAATGCTCACTTTGGTCCTCCATGTTTAATTTGCTATAGCTTCCACAAATGTTATCGAATAATTACCAAATTTTTGTCGAAAGTACCTAAGACAATTAGCTTTAAAAAGATACTAAAAAGTGTGACCCTGGTGCTCGATTTGTCGTAAATAAATTAGATTAAAAACGATTACTAAAAAAAACGACATTACTTTCTTGCCAACCCAATACAATTATTTCATTGCAAATGAGGATTTCTTTGCGTTAATAAGGAAGAACAGAGGAGATGTACTTACGTTTGGTACTGTTGCTGCTGCTGCTGCGGCTGCTGCTTCTGGGATGCGTACGCGGGGGAAAGGTTCCGGTTCCGCATGGCAGTCGCCTTAGCGGCGGCCGTCGCATTGGAAGCCGAACTCGTCATGGAGGCAGTGGTTCCGGTGTGCTTGGAGGCGTACATGGTCCTCTGACCTCCTGGTGACGAGCCTTGCAGGCGTTGCACATTTGGCTGATTGTTGACCGGTGGCGTGGACGAAATAGTTCCAGGTCCTGGACGCTGAGGCGTTATCTTCTGCAGGCAACCCCGTCGTACGGGAGGCGTGGCAGTGGCCGCCGTTGCTGTGGATTGAGCAGTATTGGCGGTGGATCGACCTGGCTGCTGCTGGGGACTAGGGTTTGGAGTGGTACTGTGACCTGGACCCGTTCCGGAAGAGGATCCCGGTCCAAAGGACGGGGCAGGTGGCTTGGGTCGCATGGGCGACCGCATCGGCGAGGTGCTGGCCTTCGGTGGTGTCCCGCTGGGTGGCGCCAACATACTGCCTGCAGCATGCGGCTGATCCGGAGCAGCAACCGTCGGTTTCATCGCCTTGAACGGTATGCCCACCTGGAGACCAACGGCCCTCGTTATCCGCACAGGAGCGGTGAATTGCATGTTCTTGACCTCCAGATCCTTAAGCACCCGCTTGTGCACCGTCTCCAGATCAAGGAACTGCTTGGACACCTCGGCGATCTTGCGTCGGTAGGTGGCCAGGGTGCTTTCGCATTTGTCCAGCTGCAACCGGATGTCCGCAAACTCACTTTTGACCAGCATTGCCTCGACTACTTTCTGGAGAACCAGCTCCTCCAGATTGTCGCGGGTCATTGTGTCGAAATTCCGCCGGAAGGCTTTAAAGAACTCCAGGCGTAGCGGCTTAACATCCTTTTTGATTTGGGGTTCAGGCTTAAGCTCGAATTTGGCTTCATTTTCTTCTTCTGATTTCAGGGAATTCTCGGATTTCACGTTTGATTTATCCTCCGGTTCATCCAAATCAATTTGTAGTGTGCCATCAGTGGAGCTGTTTGAGTCTGAGTCATCAGTCTTAGGTTTTTTGTTAGGTATCTCCTCCTCCCGATCAGGACTGTCCAGATGCTCATGGTTTCGCTTGGCGATTTCCTTTTCCTCGCAGGTGGATTTCGGGGGTGCCTCCAACACCGTCTCCAGATCGGCATCCATTTGCTCATCGGTGCTAAGGCGCATACGCTTTGATACCGATTCCTCGGCATCCTCGGCAGGCCGTAACAAGTTGCTAGAATTACTGTTTCCATCATCGGCGGAAGAGGGCTTAACCTTATCGTGGGTCTTCAGTTTCTCAAACTGATCACACGCATTGTCGGAATTATCCACTTGCAGATCTTTAACCGCAGCCGATTCCTCTGTGGAATCACTGGAAAGTCCTTTAGTTGCTGCTTCCTTCTCTTGACTTTCAAGCGGTTTCTTTTCCGGGTTCTTGGCTTGCGGTTCATCGTCCTCATCTTCAGATACAAGAACAACTTCGTCGTCTTTGCCATCAGTTTTTCCGGACATCTCACTCATTGGGTTTCCGTCAGTTTCCACTTTCTTGGTTTTATCTAAGGGTTCGAAGAAAATAACTTCATCATCAGACTCAGGGTCATTGGCTTCCTTCTCAACAGTAGGTTTCTTCCCTTGCTCATTGTCTTCGGTTTCCTTTTCACAGACCCCATTCACCTTTGGTGCTTTATCCTGTTCCAATATAACCACGGGTTCATCCACTGCCGCCTTCTTTTCCTGTTGTTCTTTGTCCGCCCCCAGAAGGGTGTTTTTAACCTCTTGGGTTTGAGTTTGAATCTCCACTTCTATCTTTGGCTCCTTATTGGAATCCTTTGATACTTCGTCTTCGACCACCATGAGCTCCTCCGTCTTTTCTGTTTTCTTTTCGTCTTCCGGATCTCCTATAGACTTTTCTTTCAGCTTTTCCTCTTCCGGAGCGTTTACTTCCTTTGTGTCTTCTTGTTCTTCTGTCTTCTTGCCCTCTTCCGGATTTGTAGTTGCGCTTTTCGCTTCCGACTTTTCTGTAACCTCTAACTCTTTTGGTTCTTCTGTTTCCTTTTCATCTTTTAGTTCTTCTGCTTCCGTCTCCTCTTTCTGTTTATCCGCTTCCTTGGACACTTCAGGCGCTTCGACTGACGTTGACTCTTTATCTTCGACTGGCCTGAGCTCCGTTGTGTCTTCAATTTCTGTCAACTTTTCTTCCTCCTCGTTAGCTTTAACAGGATCATCTTCGGTGTCCTCCACGGGCACTTCAGGGATATTTTCCTTAACAATCTCCTTGTCTTCCACTACACCTTTCTCTGAAGTAACTTTTTCGGTATTGACTTCCCTTTTGTCGCCCTCCGTTGGGACTTCAGTTACCATACACTCGTCCGACGAGTTCAAATCTATGACATCCTCTTTGGGCTTTTCTGTTTCATCGGCCTGTTTTACTTTTTCATCTCTAAGGATATCTTCATCATCTGAGGAAATCTCTTCCAAATCGTTGCCTGTTTGTTTGTCGTCGGGGTTTGGCTTTCTGCCTAACTTTGTCTTCTTGGAGTCCTGAGAGCCAAAACCATCAAACTCATCGGAACTGGAAATGCTGTCAAGAGCATCCATAAACACATCATCCGTTGAGGTATTTAACTTTTCCTTGACTTTTTCATTATTATCTACAGCATGTGCTTTGCAATCTTCTTCCTCTTCTGATTTGACATTATCCTCGGTTGTCTTTTCTATATTCGGTTCTTCGGGCTCTGCTAAATCGTCGACCTTCTCTTTTGAATCTGTTGCGAGTTCGGCAGTTTCTAAGCCTTCTTCCCTTGTGTCCTCAGTGTGAATCTCAGAATCCGCCTCTTTACTTTGTAAAAGTTCCAAACTCTCTTCTTCTCTAAGCTCAGTCGGCTTTTCGTCAGCTGTTTTCTCCTTTAATGACGCAGAGTCGCATTCCTCGTTCTTATCGAATGTTTCTAGTTCGTCCAAATTTCTGGGACTACAATCCACAACGGAGCTTATTTTGTCCAGCAGGGCATCCAAATCGCTACCCGCATTGCGTTCTTGCTCCGATCCTGTAATCGGTTTATCGACTGTCTTAAGGGAATCGACGCCATTAGTCAGCTCACAAAGATCATCTTCATCCCGTGACGTTTTACTCGATTCGTTGACAATCGCTGTAACCAGATATCAATATACCAAAATTGTTGTATCGATTTAATTGATTTGGTCTTACCACGGGTGGAGAGGGTTTCAACATCACTGACTAGCTCTGAAGAAAGGGATCGCATTAAAGCGCCCTCTGTGGAGAGTTCCTTCAGTTCCATGTTTTGGCTTACTTCCATCATTTTTCTTTTCTCTTTTTTTTACCGAATTATTCCGAAAACATTGAACTGCTGAAAAATAGCAAGAGAGAGAGAGAGTGTTTACAACAAATCTGGTGACCACCCTGTTGATAACATGGCAACCCAAAAAAAAAAAAAAACTGATTCTGACCTTACCCTGCTGGATTTTAGAAGACCATCAGTGAAAGAACCACCAAAATGGAAAAAATTTAGAATACTCCTAATGAACTCGTTTTTTGAATAGCAGAGCTTTCCATTCAAAGCTCTTCAGAAGCTTTGACAATGGTTTTCGATTCTGAAGCTAATGATATAACTTGGGAATTATACTTCATAAGCAGGTCTTATTAAACAATTGATTTTTTTTTATCAAGCTGTTAACAGAAATTCATGAGATTTATTTTATAAAAATGGATTTACAAACACTAAGACAACACTGTAAAACGGTACGAAACCATGGATTATCAAATGATGATTATTTTAGATAGTGGTCCGATCCAAAATTTAAGACCAACAGCTTTTTTTGTTTCTTTTTTCGGATTCGATTCGGTGTGTATCTACCTATAAGTCTAACCATGTGTTGTTTTTGTTGGTTGTCCCAAGCGCTCGTCGCTTTCCGAACGCAACAATAGCAACACATCGGCGCAGCGAAAATACGAAAGCAAAGCGACGATAAATGTGTGCAAAAAGGAGAAATAAGTGACGAAAGATGCATAGAAGGGGATGGAAAAAAAGTGACCTGCTTCTTGCGACATAGGGGACATACATAGGTCCGAGATGTTTATAACTGTAATTAGCGTATACCATTTTCACTAAGAAAAGTGAGGTTAGGTTGAGTTAATTGGCTTTGAAGGCGTTTATATACGTGTAAATATTATGTTGATGATATTAAAAAATGACTTACAAGTTTAGGAGTCCTTGTACTCGGTTATCTATTTTTTCGATTCAGCTACACTTGGAGAAATTAAAATGACTTGAATTTCTCGCCGCGTTCCCAGCAAAAATGAACGAGGCGAACGCCAAACCAGCTGACGAAAAATGAAATGAGAGCGAGAGAGCGAATAGCTATGAGCGGCAAGGCGGAAGGGACGTCTGGGAAAGCGGGAGGGAGATAGCCGGGGGAGGGCGTGTCTCAGGGTGATAAGATTCGATAATGTAATCCTACTTCTCCTAAATCTCAAACTTTTCAAGAACGTAGGGAACATAAAAAGTCGTCTATACCCCAAAACTATAGAGCAAGTTGGCAGTTCTCTTTTTTATTAGCAGTTACAATTAAAAAAAAAAAAAAAATTTTATAAATATTCAAGAAGTATGGCATAAAAATCGAAATTAGGTGAGAAGGGATCTTCAAGCAAATGTTTGATAACAACGCAGAAAGCCAAACGTTTAAAATAGCGCAAATAGAAGCGTTTTGTTGTTCGTGAGCGGGAGGGGGAAGATGCGGACGTAGTCCGTTAGAGCGGGATGACTGCATGTTCGCCCATTAAAGGCAACTTAAAGAGGGAAGCAAAACTTAAGTAAAGACGATTAGGTTCTATCCATTTCGGATCAACTTATAGCCCAATATAGGTTTATTTAGACCATATTTTAGTGTGTGGTAAACAAAAAAGTGGGTGGAAGTAGGGTAAATCGAAAATTAAAAAAAAACGAAAAGAAATTGCCTCTGGTTAATATAAAAGTTCTAAACTTTCAGAACTTAAAACCTATGTAGCTTCCGTCCGTATGGTCTTACCGAGATGCTCTTTAGGACCTTGCCAGGATACCGGTTTCGCATAAAATTGGCAGAGCGAGCGGGACGGACAGAGAGAGCGGTTAGAGAGTAATTGCAAGAGAGAGCAAGAGGCCAAATATATATACACGTGGCTATATATATTTGTCTGTATGTAGAAATTGAATAAAGTTCGCGTAGCACCGAATACCACACGACAAAGATACAACAGCAGGGCAAAAAGCAACAACTACAGCATTAAGCAAACGAAATTGAGGTGTCGTTAGCTATACATATCTGCTGTTTGAAAGCTATAACCCGGGTATTGGCTTTATATAGAGATAGTGTCCTACGAGCTAGGGCTAACATCCGAATCTAGCGATTACGACTGGTTACGGAGACTATACTTTTTTCCAGATATTATCCTCTGTTTTCTATCTGAAACTTAAATATGCACATGCATGTAAAAATGCATTTATGTATCTTTTATGTTTTGGCAAACTAAAGTTTGCTATCTGATGTATCATTTTGAGAGTCCGATTTTGGTTATGACTATATATCTCAAACCGCTTTGGGCATTAGGCCTATTATAGCTGTCCCACTCTCGCACACCCATACGGCTGCTTTGGCAATGCCGTATCTGTGTGAGTTTGTATGTATATCAAAATGAGTCTGTGTGCGATTTTGCAGCGCGTTTACATTCTTTTTAGGTTACGTATCGATTTTGATGCAGAGTGAGGTTAGAATGAAAAACATCCAAGTTTTTCTAAGTCCTACGAAACCGAGTGGATTTTTGAAGTCCCGTCAGTGTTGACAATGATTTTTGATATTAGGCGTTCTATGGAGACGCAACCCTGAAAAAACTTGAACCAGCAAACTGCCAGCAAAAACGAAAGCAAAACGGGGCAACATTTTTATTCACCTATTGTACAATTTTGTGTTTTCAGGGTTGCCACGTATGGATTATGCTTGCCCTATATATTATGTGAAAGGCTTTATCTCACTTAGGAACCCTCAAAATTAATATTAATGCAGATTTGTGACCTCGCAGACGAGCAGGGTTGCCACCTGCCGGTCATATATTTTTCGCGTTGCTACAGCATTACGGTCAATTGTCACGTGCATATGAGAGTTACTTAGTCTATATTCCAGCAAAGTTATGGATCTTAATTAACATATTTCATAATACCCTTTCCAATTGCAACCACCTGACAACCCTAAAAACACAAAATGTCTTAGAAGAGACTACCATATCTGACGTATGGTACCCAACCCAAATCAAAACACGGTCAAAACCTCTAAGACTAAGCCCAATTACCAAGTAAAACATTTGATTAGTTTAATAAAAACCAATTATATTATACAGTGATTTGTAAAGATTATAAATCAGAAATGCAATGAAAAAAATTTTCACTTACCTTCCTACGGACCCGAATAACTTGTTTATTAACTGAAGTAGTCACGAAATATATTTGAATACGACATAACCCACGTCTTCCACTATCAATGGTCGATAATTTGAATGAATTTAACAGTTTTTTGGCGATTTGTTTACAGTTTGCAAGCAAATCAGCTCCCAATGCCCCTTAGCGACGAAGAATGAAACACAGACTAAAATAAGACAACAACAAAAGTTGCGGAAAAGAACCAGTCCAGGAACAACTGGTTCATAATAGTAGCGCCCAGACGGCAGTGCGCGGCATGTGAAAAGCGATGGGTGCGTGACTGCGAAAAACAAAGAAATTTCGTGTTTCAAGGTGAAGTTAAAAAAATTAATATACTGTGAGTTTGTTATTAACCCAAGAAATTAAAGGGAATTCAATTAAGCAAAATGAATCAAAACCTTTTTTTTGACATCTGGGATAAATATGTTTAAATGTTAAAACATTGATTTATTGACAACGTCAACAATGAATGAAACGAATGTACAATTTTAAAATATATATCTTGGTCTGAAGCTCATATAACTCATATAAAATATTATATCCAATGTTATACATAAATCAAAGCTTAGTGGGTTCGATACCTGTGACCATCTCTAATTGGAACCAAATACCTAATACGTTGTTTTTAGGGCTACGAAAAGCATTATCTTATCTGTGAACGGAACCAGTGGAAAATAATTGTTCCAGAAATCTAATCGTGTATCGCTTTTTTATTCGATTCAAGTACATTTTTAAAGCTTATATGGTAATCTTGACCAAACAAGCAATAGCTTGAAAACTTAGAGAGCTAAAATTTTAATTATAGAGATTAATATTAGAAAAGAGCGAACCTGTAATGGGAGCCAGCTTAATCCACCCCTGGAAAACTAGATCCGGTTTCCGAACCAATGGCAAGCGGTACAAAACATAAACATCTGTAGATTATAGGTTAAATGGTTTTATAATAACAAATGTGGGAAGTTTTCAATTAAGATGAGCAACCTGCTGAACTTTGCCCTGCGTCACGGCGCCAATTCGGTCAGGCGCATTAATCTACAAAGCCTTAGACTGACAGTACCGGCTATTATTAGCAAATCGCCGGTTTGTCCAGCGATAAAGAGGTTCTCCTCCCAAGCGGCCCCATTCGATGTGAACACTAGTGTGCCCAAGGATATAATTCTTTTTAAATATGAGAACCCGCGCTTCTACCAGATGCTGAACTTTTTTGGCGTCTGCCAATTCGTTTTCTGGACATATCTCTCGCATTTTGCCTTTACAACGCTAAAGGATGCACCAGTTGTAGAGAAGCCCGGAGAGGATCTCAAGTGGTTCCAGCGCATAAATCTTGGAGATAATAAGTACAGAAATGGCATCACAGTCTGTAGTTTTCTAATAGGTGAGCCAATACAAGTGTGATATCTTTAAAAACCATATAAAACTTTCCGAACGCTTAGGATACGGTATTCTATTTGCTGTCTGGATGTTCACCCTTCGTTCGGTTCGATTTCTTATCCTGAGAAAGGGAGGTCAAAGTGTTTCTTTTGTGACGTATGGACCCTTTAACCGAAATCGAATTATGACAGTTCCTTTAAAGTGTGTTTCTGCCGAAGAATCAAGAAATTTGGCCAGGGTGCAACTTCCCATAAAAGTCAAGGGAAAAACCTTGTACTACGTCTTGGATATGCGCGGCGAGTTCCGGAATCCCCAGTTGTTCGATTATACGGCGGGTTTAAAGAGGCGCATATAAAAAAGCTATTGTTATTTTTTAACTTATAATTTGTAAATAAAGATGTACACTAATTAAAATGAAACCCTTAGTAAATGGGTTCCGGTTTTTGGGTGAGCAGGAGTCCAAAGCGCTTCTTGATGGTGATCCTCTGACGGGAGTACTTATCCTCTGGAGAAAAGCGTGCTGGATGAGCAGACAGAGTTGGACGACCATCCTCAGTGCGTTTCTACAAAATTAAAAGGGGTGAGTTGAGCAGGTAAAAGTACCAAAATCAGGGATTATTTACCTTCAGGGTGTAGACGCGGTCCCCGTTTTCGTTAATTGTGTACATCAGATACATTATTGATGGGTTTTTTTTTTGTAAAAAGATGCAGTAAATAAAACACGTGTGGCGTGCGTTGCGAAGTGTTACCGTATAAGCAAAATAAAATATTCCACACAATACAATCGATAGATTCCATGAGAAAAGGTGGTAAACTTTGATGAAAATTAACTTAAATCGATGTTTTTCCACCTCTAAATCGAATTTTAATCCAGGCTTGGCGGACTTTTGTGAACAATGTCTAATAAAGTGGATAAACTACACAAACAGGCTTTAAGGGAGCAACAGAAGCGAATAAAACCCGGAGAATGCATGAAATATGTAAGAATGGTCATTGACTCAGGATTTCTAAGCATCCCCGAAGGTCAGGAAATGCTGCAGCAACTTAATTCCTCTGATTTAAAGTACGAAATAAAAAGCTTGCCAGTGAGCTATTGCATCCTATGGGAACGTAACGTGGGACAGCAAACGATTTCGCTGGGAACTAGTCCTACTGGTTTGGATGAGGCATGGAAACGCGAGAACCAAGTGGTTCAATTTCTACCCGAATCCAGTTTTCATAAAGCTCTTAAAGACCAAAGTCTGGTTTGTCTGGGACCCAGGTTGCAAGACTCATTTCCTGATTGCCAGTACACCGTGGCTGTACCAAAACCTCGTCATGGCAAACACAATGCTTCATCCCACCAGGATGCATTGATAGAGATGCAGCTGCTGCAGGAACTCCATGTGGAGCAGCTAAACCGCCCCGAAGGCCAGGACCTATTGGCCCTACTCCGTCGGTACACAAAAGCCATTGCTGAGGCCCCCTACAAAAAGCAACGCAACGAAAGTCTGGGATGTTTTAAAAAATACCTGGCTAACGATAAAAAGCAGTGCGTGCGGGTGGATCAGGGAAATGGATATGGACGTCTATGGCAGCAGCACCTTAACCGATTGCCCCAAGTCACGCTTGAGGTGGCCGAATCTGTCATAGCCCAGTATCCCTGTCCCAAAAATCTTTTGGATCACTTCGCTAATGATCCCAATGCCGTGCAAAATCTAGCCGACTTAAAGATCAAGCGCTGTAATGGACCTCAACCTCTTCATACCGAAAGACGCATCGGAAATGTTCTCAGTAATAAACTGCATACCTTGTATAATGCTAGAGATCCAAATACGTTGTTATAGAATAAAAAATAAAAGTAACAATCAGTATGTCCATATCCATATGACACTAGTCCATTTAGACTTGATATATCAAATACTAGAACAACTTAGCTTTAGAATCTGCTCATATATTAGCTTTCTTAGTTATGTACAATTAGAATTAAATGTTAAAGTAAGAGCTAAATATTTTACATTATTTTTCTTCTCGTATTAGGTATAATTTAAAAATCACAATGTTCCTATACACATTACTATGAATTCAATTAATTGTTGTTTGCACACCTGAAGAATTGATAATATGTCCAGTCGAAAGCCAGAACTCTGTGAACATTGAATTGGGCGAGAGAAGATGAGAGTGTTGTCGTGGAAAAACTTCAGTCCGTACTCTATAGCGTGGCCAAAATCCGGGTGAATCCTAGGCAGGCGGAGACTATGGTTTGTCCAAGACCCCAGATCATGGCGTAAATGGGCGACATGGGCAAACTGGAGGCTCGATGCACAAAAGCAATAACCGCACTACTGATGATTCCACTTGAGGCCGGTGACAGGAAGCCCATGACAAGGATGAGGATCGAGAAGAACCTTCCAAACTTGTGTTTCCGGAGCGTTACGAAGGCCACCACGGCGGCGCAGGTGTGGATGAAAATTGAGGAGAATAGTGCCCACAAAAAGACATGGTACCACATTTCGCGAAAGGTGTTGAGTCGGGCCTGCGATCGAAGACCCATCACATCGGCGATGGTGTCCAGTTCATCGGTGTCATAGCCCTCGGAAAACATAGTGAAAAGTCCTGACTGATGAAAGATTGCGTGGGATCTTTATATATGTACTAGTTGCTAGTTATTGCTTTTCCGTTGGTCAGTTGAGTGTACAGCCGCATTTCCGTTGATGGATCCTTTCTTTACAGCATGTATCCTCCGTTCATTGTTCTGGAACACCACAAACCAATTAGACTTGACCTTTTGGCATTTATTTATACTAACGCTTGCACATGTGTGCTATAGGCCACACCCGCATTGGTCGTTTTTTATCTGTAGTTAAGTTATAGTCATTCCTTGTTGCTTATACGTATAAAACATGGTATTAACTTCCGGTATCCGTGTTTCTTTAACAATTGTTTGTTTTATTTTTAATTCGTGCAACAATCGATTGGACTGTCGTCACGACACTCAATTGCCTTTTTCTGGCGGCAGTGAATTTTAAAACTGGTTCGTATATCAGTCTGTCAGTTTTAAACACCCATAACTGATAACTATCACCAAACCAACCAACTTTTTTTTAATTTGTTTAATTTTGTAGTGTTTTTGTCTGCGATTTACTATTGCAACGGGATTGGAACGTTTCGGGAATAGACCAGATCTGATAAGCAATCAGCTGTAACTCATTTAAGAACTAGTTCAGCTATAATGATAGAACAACAATAACGATTCCTAAAACAACCGCGTATAAAAATAGTTATAATAATAAGAAGGTCTTCGTTTTTTAAAAAACATATCAGCTTATCAAACACCACTGAAACTTAAAAGCCTTTTAAGCTTACCTATCGTTATCGAGTCATTGGTATCAGCGAACCAGTTCGTAAAGAACCATCTTAGCACTAGTGACAACTCTGCAACCAATCCATAAACAAAAAAAATTTTGTGTAAACTAAAAACAAAAGCGGAAGTTGAAAAGCATCTTTTTAGCATATATTTTGGCCCCTTATGATTTGTTAAGTTTCTGTTTTGAAGTATGGGATGCTGAGAGATCCTTGAACAAGTGTAAGTCTATGACACATTTCTTTCAAAGCGAACCCACATACGTATGTACATATATGTATGTAACTGCATCCAGATATATATACATATATGTACCCATGTATCTTACGCATTCCCGTCTATATGTAAGTAATATGTGTGCCGATCCGATAATCGGTTAAATTAAAAGCCTCCCATTGAATTAACGTTGCGTGCGAATATATATTTACGATATGTATTTTTACCCAGCATATGCTTGCGAGCAGAGATTAATTAAAGGCCCCCCTTTTGCAGACTTCATATACTTCGAGCCCCACAAAACCAACGACGCATTTAATCAATGTTCTCCAACGGATTGCCGTGCAATCTGTCGTTTCCGAGCTGTCTCAGTGTTCCAAAAGACGAGATCGGTAATGAAGAGCTCCTGCCATCCAACATGGGGACTCGCGAGCCTGTTATACTCAATGTCTACGATATGGTGGGTAGTCCCGATCATATTTTTTTCACCATATAATAAAGCAATTTTTTTTAGTACTGGATTAACGAGTACACCACCTCAATTGGCCTGGGCGTATTTCACTCGGGCGTAGAAGCGTTTGGCACCGAATTCGCCTACGGCGGACATCCATTCCCGTTTACGGGGGTCTTTGAGATCTCACCGCGGGATCACGACGAACTGGGCGATCAGTTCCAGTTCCGTCAGAGCATCCAGATCGGTTGCACCGACTTCACGTACGAGGAGGTGCGCCGGATCGTCGAGGAGCTGGGCAACCAGTTCCGGGGCGACCGGTACCATCTCATGAACAACAACTGCAACCACTTCTCGGGCTCATTAACTCAGGTGGGATATTGGGCATACCTCCCTGCTTACACAGAGGAAATTTCCATCGATACTCTAGAATTTGCTTAGGTGGTTTCGAAACCTTAAGAGATATGAGAACCCCATTTGGGGTGTGCTAAATAATGAATCATCGAATGTCAGATACCGTCAATTACAACCTAAATAATTCGCCGTGATTTATTTTAGCCGTGTTCTGAATTCCTTCGACATTTAATATTTATTGTCTACCTTGATTCCCGTTTGTACGTTTTGTACGGGAACTTTGAGTTTAAATATTTAACGAAACAAGCATTTAGTAAAAGTCATGCAAAGAAGAAAACTTTGAAACCCTATTAACATAAACGCCATGTAGTATTTTTATTCCCCTTGACTACAGACACATCGAAGATATATACATTGTTACTTTTTCGTTTCAGATACTTTGCGGCCAAGAAATACCCAGCTGGGTCAACCGTTTAGCGCATTTCAGCTCCTGTGTGCCATTTCTACAAAGATGTTTGCCAAAGTGAGTCAATGAAAATTAAACTAAATTATCTATTTCATTATAAACTTGCTTGTTTTTGTTTCTTAATCTGTTTTAGAGAATGGCTGACACCCAACGCCTTGCAGCAGAGCATTACAACAATCCAAGAGCGCGAAGACTCAGACACCAGTCCCCTTTGAGACGTTACCTGACCGAGAATTTGTCACTTGGCGACACACAAGCGATCATAGTTCACATCCAACTGCAGTCTTTAGACCAACATTGTTAAGTTACACAGAGCGAAATGCCGCGTTACTCACGTCACATCAATTTCCAAGCCAACAAAACGCCCCCCAAACAAAAAGCAACAACTACTATTAATAGATTTAAATTAGGCGATATACATACATACATAGAACAAACCTACATAGAAACATACTTATACATACTTGCGAAGTGACTAAATTATTGGCTATTGTAATTTGTATTTGTAATATGACTATTCAGAATTAAGATATTATTAAGTGGCCGGTAAATTTAAGTAGCAGGCGCCGTTCAGCAGCAGTGTCATTTATAGAATTTTAAATTACCTACGAAGACATCGAGAAATCATGATTAGGCACTTGCTAAATTGTACTAACAATACCGCAGACATATTGGTGAAACGATATCAAAATGTTGCCCAATTTACTTGTTTACTTTTGTCAGCGGTGGGAATTTGTTTTTTTTGAATTCCCACCAAGCATCTGAGCTCGATTATTGAGATGATTTACTGGTTGATTTCGTTTACACCATTATACAGAGTTCATAAGCCGCATGTCTATCAAAACACCAAAATGATCTGTTATCAATAAATATATGTACTTGACATTCTGATATTTACACATGCATAAATACTATTATTAAACATTTTTAAAGAAAAATATATTTTGATCGAAAACAGTTGGTGGGGTTTCACTTAAGGACGAGTGGTCTGGTGTACAAATATATTATTTTAAATCCTTCAATAAAACAAACAATTTTTCGTAAAACATTGTATTGTATTTGTATATTTCTTTGAAACCCTCTAGATTAAATTCATCAATTGGAAATAAGTTAACTTTTGCTTTAGTTTAGAACTTGATTAGGTTTAAGATAAATACGTTAGGAATAACTATGTACAATGGGAACATTCGGGACCAATATCAAACTAGACTCGAGACATTATTGTAGAGACCAACGGCTGATACCTCGTCAAGATCAATATCGTTGGGTGGAAGGTTGGTATGCGGCCAATTCCTTGGACGTGGATTTGGATGGGGCGGAACAATGGCCTGGAAAGTGGGCGACTGAAGAGGTCGATAGGTCACCGCACCCATGTAATCCCCTTGCCTCAGCGGAACATTTGGTTGTGGAATCCTCTCCACGTATAGTTCTTCGTTGCGATAGAAATTTGCATTTGGTACGTAGCCGGAGTGGATCCTTCTCTGCGGATTTTGCTGGATCGGTGGACGGTGGGGCAGCTCATGGAAGTAGGCATCTTTGGGTATTTGTCTTTCAGGCAGACCGAACTGGGCAGTGTTCCTGTGCGGGATACTATATGTGGGGGAGGGATTCGAGGAGGTGGCCTCAACGTGCTGGAAATTGTTGTTTAAGCGGGATTGTGATCTTGCCGCAATCACGTTGGCTGTTTGGGAATCCTGTCGATTGGTATCGATGGTATTTTGCAACTGGGCCACCATGTCTCGAACCTGACCAGCATTCGGCTTCTTCAAACACTTGATCTCGCTGTTCCGAATCTCCACCTTGTTCACGTTATCATTGCCATTTTGCCTTACTTCCGATTCCTCGGCATACTCCATGATGGGATTGGAGTAGAAAAGATTCGACATAACGGGGTAGTTGTCCTCCAAGCACAAAGGCTGTCGCTTCATCAGATTAGAGATGCCAGCCGCCTCGCAGGCTTGCTCCTTGTAGAGCAACTTATCGCCTCCCATCCTGTCAGCAGTTTCATTGACAGCCGCCTCCTCTTTTCCCAGATCCGCAAAAGAGGCATCTTTTCTCAGAGCCTTTATCACGGAGTTCAGCATGTTCTCGCCCCTTCCAATTCGCTGGTAGTACTTGTGGTAGTCTGGCTGCGGATTACTGCCCGTGGGAGAAGCCTCCCAGTCCCAGCTGTTGGAGTTCTGTGAGGGATTCGAGGTCTCGCTGGAGTTCGGGTAGCGTCGCAGCACATTGGTGTACTCATCGAAATTGGGGCTATTAACACTCTCTTTGTCATCGCGAAGTTGGGCGGACTCGGCTCTCGGATGGGGTTTATAGGGTGGCGATAAGGACGATAGCTGGTGCTTGCTCTCCTGTTCACTGTCCCTTTCCATGATCAAGGTGGTCTTCTCCAGGAGGACTCCCAATCTTTCGGATACTTTAAGGAAATCTAGCTTTAGTTCATCAAGCTTTGAGTGCTCTATTTGTGGAACTTCCTCCTCTGGCTCTTGATTCTCTGGAATCTCCTCATCCTCGTCAACTTCCTCCTCTTCTTCTCGAGCGGCATTTGAATCATCATCGCTTTCGCTCTCCATGTGCACCTCCGCTGATCGGTGTACTATAGCTTCCACTGCCTGATCTTCAAGTACATCCACACTTCGAGAATTGGTAAGCCTGCCACCTTCATGGTTGTTTTCCAATAGCTCAAGACTTCGACACCTGGACAGTGTCCTTTCGATCCTTGAGTTCTTGTTCTGCTGATCGAAGGTCGATCGCATTGGTTCACCTCTTTTCAGAAACTCACTGAGATGCTGCCTCTTGCTCTCACATCTTAATCTGTCTTCGATCATCGTCCTCGTAAGCTGTTCAATCTGATCGTTGGTTTTTATGGCCAAAGCCTGAACTTTGTGACCCAATCGTTCCTTGGTTTTGTGTACGTACTTCTTTAAGCTCTTGCGATTGCAGTTCAGTTTGTTCTCAATATGCCGGAAGAAGGGACCGCAGTAGCAGGTATTGCCCACGCTGACAGGACCCTTGTGGATGTGTCCTGCCAAGTCCAGGAAGTACTGCTCGCCCGGCTTCAGCGGCTCCTTGGGCAGAGTTTCCAGTTTCGGAGAGGGAAAGGCACGAGGATCGGGAAAGTAATGACAGCCATAGGGCGACCAGTTGATACCCTTGTCCACCACGTCTCTTTCTCGATCTTTATCCTTATCGGATCTGCTGCCACCCTCCTTGGGTTTCTCCTTGCGATTTCTTATTTTCTTAGGCGTGTTTAGGATCTCTATAATCTCCCGGTAGTTCTTCCTGATTGCTATATGCATGGGGCAATCGCCTTGGGCGTTTTTAATACCCAGCCGAGCATCTGCCTCCAGGAGTATCCTCGTAAGCTTCCTGCGACCCATGGCACAGGTGATGTGCAAAGCGGTATCTCCGTTTAAATTTGTTTTGTTGGGATCACAAAGGGCGGAAAGCAGGATGCGGGTAACTCCGGCATGTCCATATCTGCACGCGGTGTGCAACGGAGTATCCCCATACTACAAAAATTAGATATTTAAAATTACGATCCTTCAAGATATATATCAATCCCTGACTCACATTATTTTGAACATCGGGATCAGCTCCGGCCAAAAGAAGTTCCCTGGAGCTCTGGTTGTGACCGTTTTGGGCCGCTAAATGCAGGGCCGACAACCCCTCATTGTTGGCTATACTCAAAGCGCTATTGTGTAGGGCTTCGATGGTCTGGTGGGCCACCTTCGCCCTTCCCTTGTTCTTATCCTTGTCCTTGTCTTTGTCCTTCTGCCCCTTGGCAGCTTTTCCCACCCCCGACGAAGTGGGTGGAGTTGGGGGTGTGCAGATCAGTTTCACGCAACGACTGTAACCCCGACTGGCGGCTTCGTGGAGTGGGGTGTTCCCCTGCAGGGATTCCTTCGCCAGGCGGTCCGCATTGCTGAACAGGAGACCTTCCACCCGACGATCATCCCCGGCGGCCACCGCCTCGTGCAACGAAGTCCAGTTACTCGAATCGGGCTAAAAAGGGGGGATACAGGTTAAGGGGTGGAACCTTTGGCTATGTTTAATGATATAAACCTACCCCGGAGATGGCATTCGGAAGAGCTTCCTGTTTCGGAATGCGAGACGATCCATGCTGCATTGTCTTTAATAAACAAATTACAAACAAGTATGCATTATTTATATCATTTGTGAAAGTGATACACGGAAATTTGATTAAAGCAATAAGAAGATGGGGAAGATTTTTGTTATCCACTTATTCAATTTATAACAGTTCCATCAACTATGTACATTTATCAAATAATAACAGGTCCGAAAGGATCTCAGAGAAATCACTCAAAACCAGTAGAATTCAAGACTAGACAACTCTTCTACACTTGGCGAAATAAAAAGTTGTAAGTTAATTTACTAATTTATATTTTATGAAAATGAAAACAAACTTTTAGCTCGGGGCACAGTTTATGTTTGGTCGTCGCATAGATTAATAATCACTTCTGTTAATGGGCGGTTTTGAAAACTTATTTAAATAAATTTATATAATTTAATTATTTTACGTTTATGTAATGAAAGAAAAACTTGTTGGCTTAAAATAACTTTTACGATTTGCTGAACATTAAACTTGACCTAGGATCATGTCAATATGATCATTGGTCTTATTATTTCTGGCCGTGTATGCGCATGTGTGTGTGCCTCACGTAATGGCGTACCACGTAGTAATTGCAATTACAAACAGAAGTGGGAGTTACCAAAACCGTTTCACCAAAAGGTTTGAAATTTCAAAAACACTTTATAAATAACAGTTGAATAACTTTTTTTTTTGAGCATGCACATGAATGGAACATATACGGTTTCTCTTATATCTATTGCTATCATAGCAAATTCCTAGGCCTAAAACCCAGGTTAATCTGCGCCATGGTTTTCTTTATTCCCAACTCACTTTTCTCTAATTTCAATTTTCGATTTCGCGCCGTAATTTACACATAGCTTTTCGGCACATCCACGTATTTACACATGCTTTATTTCAATATTTTTTTAAAGCCCGATTTTGCACTATTTTGCTTAGGTTTAATGGAACGCCCAGAGTTAATTTGGCTTCAAGCCAGGCCTAAAAAGAGACTAAAAGAAAGCCAATCACAGGCAAAATTGGCAACAGGTTTCTAACAGGGCTGCCATACATTCAAAAAGTATTCGAAAGCCGTTACCGATAGTTGGGAATATTGGCAACAACTGAGTTCGGCCACACTATAAGTGGGCTACCAATTTTGTTTGTCATCGGCATTTAGCATTCAATTTAATAAACTTTTTGAAAGTATCTACAAAAATGGCACTGGCTGAAATCTGCAAAATATCCAACGCCCCGTACATGAGGCCCACCGCCTGGTCGTCGGCGGAGGTAGAAGATGACTTGAAGGGGTTGACTTGCAATCTGGCCAATCCATTCACACTGGCTGCTCCGCCATTCGAGAACGTGAGTTGGGATTAACTGATACCTCTGAAGATTTATCTAAAAACCTCTTGTTTTTCTAGCCTATGCACAACCTTAATCAGATCCAAGCCAATGCCGACAAGACCGGCATCAAAATCGAGTTTGATCACGGCACCACCACCCTTGGCTTTAAGTTCAAGGGTGGAGTAATCCTGGCTGTAGATTCCCGGGCCACTGGTGGCCAGTACATTGGCTCGCAGACAATGAAGAAGATTGTCGAAATCAATCAGTTTATGCTGGGCACTTTGGCTGGCGGTGCCGCCGACTGTGTGTACTGGGATCGCGTTTTGTCTAAAGAATGTCGTCTGCACGAACTGCGAAACAAGGAGCGCATTTCGGTGGCCGCAGCCAGCAAGATCATGGCCAACATTGCCCACGAGTACAAGGGGATGGGCTTGAGCATGGGCATGATGTTGGCCGGATACGATAAGCGCGGTCCTGGTCTCTACTACGTGGATTCCGAGGGATCCCGCACGCCCGGTAACCTCTTCTCCGTGGGAAGTGGATCTCTGTTTGCCTACGGTGTTTTGGATTCTGGATACCACTGGGATCTTGAGGACGAAGCGGCCCAGGAGCTGGGACGCCGAGCCATCTACCATGCCACTTTTAGGGATGCCTACTCTGGTGGCATCATTCGCGTTTATCACATTAAGGAAGACGGCTGGGTCAACATCTCCAACACCGACTGCATGGAGCTTCACTACAAGTACCAGGAGTTGAAGGAGCAACAGCAGGCGGCTCAGTAGAATTGGATTTTATTATAAGATATTCAGTCGAACGAAGTTTGTATTTCTTGGAATAAATGAACGTGGTAGAGACTCAGTGTTGTGTTCTTTTTCTCTTGACTTTCTTACTTAGACTTTAGTATTTAATATTATTATTCTAAATCAAATGAGTTTTGGGGATTGGTGCTCAATGATGTACTCGTAGTCTAGGTCTCTTGTTTTTCTTGTTTCTGCTGGGATATCATCTGTAAAGTTTCCTTGTGCCGCATTTCCGCACGTTTTTGTTTGAAAGTGCGCTTTCCTCCCTTGGTATCCACCCGTTTTCTACGCAGGACACCTCTTTCCATTGCGTTTCGCAGTTCCTGCTCTGCATCCAAGTAGTTGGGTATGTGAATCTGCCGGATCATGCGATTCCGCACCATGAAGTGATCAAAAGGATGCTGTCCCCCGTTCCGATCGATGAAAACGGCATGTGTAAGTTCGCAGGTCATGTGCCCATCGGCTACATCGATAATCCCGGCTACGGAGGTCTCGTTATGCAAATCTATGAGCACGGAGTGGCCCTGCAGCATCACGGGCCAGCAATTCAAGGTGTTGGACACCAAATACTTCTCTTGCGAACTGAATTGCTGCATTATTTCTAGGTTGCTGTTTAAACACTAAGAAGCAGAGCTGCCAACTTTTTATATTTTTACTGTCAACAAACTTAAATTCAAGTACCTACATATTATTAAATTTCAAGTTGAACGTACATAAATAAATCGCTTGTATACTTTATAAAATAGAAACACAAGTGGTTTTGAAATAAGATTTGCTTGATATTTAATAACAGAAATTTCTGAAAGATTGAAAGTAAAAAATGTTTAGCTGTTGAGAAACAAGTTACGAAATTGGTCTAATTGGTCTTTGAAGTGAAGCAATCTCTTAATATACAAAAATGTATGTGGGCAAAGTAAATTAGGTACACATCGGTTATACTTAGGATATATAATAAATAACTAAGTTTAGATGGCTGTTCCGCGTTCCAGATTCTGTTTGATCTCTGCCGTGTGCTCGCTGTAGAATCGGTCCAGCTTTTTGTTGAACTTGGAATTCCTCTCGTTGATAAAGTCCACATCTGCGTCATCGTTGTAGATTCGCCTGCGGGAGTACTTCTTGCGTCGTTCGATCTGCTGCTCCAGATCCTGCACCATATTGTTAATAGCGCCGGGTGTGTCCTTCGTCCTAGAGTGCAAAGTTGTGTGCGCACCGCCGTAAAAGGCATCGCCGAGCTCCTCCTTTTGCCGCTCATACTTTTCCATATCACGAGCAGGCATGCTCTTCACCAATCTGTTGTACTGTCGTGCTGTTTGTGCTTCATAAGTGGAGAAACCCAAATCCGGATTGTCCTTGCGCTTTTTCTTTTTCTCTATGCGATCCGCATCCACAGCAGAGACCTCAAGAAGCTTGAGACGCTCGTAATCTTTGCCAGCTGCTTGTGCCTCCGATCGCGCCTTGTCGTCGGCAAGTATCCATTCCGCCTGCCGCTTGCGAGCCTCCCAGTTCTTTGGGAGCTTCTTGCGTGCGTCCTCTGCAACAACTTCCTGGTGGTTATCTGTACGCGCTTCCTGTCGTTTTTTGTGCAGATCCAGCAGACGTGCCTTGCGCTCCGCCAGCTTTTGCGCAGCTGTTTTAGTCGTTTCCATTTTGTATTTGCTTAAAATTATATTTTTCTTTGTGAAAATTGTGAGTTTACGTTGTTTAACTTCTTTTGTTTTTTTTCAAGTACGATTATTGTATTGAGACGCGTTGGCAGCACCAATTAAAATCAGCTGTTTTGCCGAAGTGGCAACTCCGTTACGGTAAGTAGCAGCTTTTTAAGTAAGTGACTACAGCAATGCAACTTTTCAGTTAATTAAAAAAAAATACTTCACACACACAGGTGAGTCTATCATGCATAGTTTGCCGTTATTTATCTCGACAAATTTGTTAAAAATGATTTTATTTATCTTAAAATGAATAAGACACCATCGTTACGCTTATTTGGTGCCTACTGTGCTGCACGACTAGCAAACGCGTTAGTGCATTTCAAGATTCATGTGCTGTTTACCTCAACACGTGCGGTGGTTTTTGTTTATATTTTTACTCGAGGATTTTGCCTAAAAACACCCGCAAAATGAAATTTTCCTACAAAGTAAGTTTGATCCGCGTTCTAAATCCACAAATATTTAATATCTGTTGTCACAGTTTTCCAATTTGTTGGGCACAATATATCGAAATGGAAACTTGGTGTTCACGCCGGATGGAAATTCGGTTATCAGTCCGGTTGGTAATAGGATAACGGTCTACGATTTGAAGAAGTAAGTTATTGTCCTTTGATCATGGATATTTTAAATATATAATATTCCTTTACAGTAACAAATCCCGCACCTTATCACTCGAGTCGAGATACAACTATACAAACCTAGCTCTTTCGCCAGATGGAAGTCTCTTGATTGCAGTGAACGAGCAAGGAGAGGCTCAGCTCATAAGCATGATGTCTTGTACAGTGATCCACCGGCACAAGTTCCAGACGGGTGTCCAGTGCATCTGCTTCAGTCCAAACGGGGCTTTTTTCGCTGTGGCTGTTCAGAATTTAGTACTTGTATTCTGTGCACCGGGTGAAATTACTGGAGAGTACAATCCTTTCGTTCTTCGTCGGAGATTCCTCGGCGGCTACGACGATATCACTTGGTTGGACTGGTCCTCAGACTCTCGGCTTTTGGCCATTGGTTGTCGGGACAGCTCCACCAAAATCTGCGCCTTAAACTATACGAAAAACTTCCGCACATATAATCTTAGTGGCCACACGGATGCCATTGTGGCCTGCTTCTTCGAGGCTAACAGTTTGCACCTTAACACAATAAGTCGCAATGGACAGCTGTGCTTGTGGGAATGCAGTATGGCACCTTCGGATTTGGAAGACGTAGAGCGGCCAAAAATTGCTCCCCCACAGAGAAAAAAGAACAAAAAGGCGGACTCCGACAATGAGTCCGAAGATGACGTTGAAAATACAGTGGAAAAGGATGCTTCAAAGGAGGAATCTTCTAAAGGAGCTGGGGATGTCAACGATCTTAAAGATGAGGCCGAAAAGAAGGCTCATCCCTTTTTCTACAAGAAGTTAGCTCGCCACTATTTGGCCGATGAGCCGCGCAAGGAGCAGCGAGATGTCCAGCTGACGGCAGCAAACTACAACACTCGCACTAAGGTCCTGGTGGTGGCGTTCAGCAACGGAGCCTTTTACCTCTACGAACTGCCCGACGTTAATATGATTCACTCGCTGAGTATCTCCGATTATCCAATTTCGGCGGCCCTCTTCAACTGCACTGGAGATTGGGTGGCCTTGGCTTCCCGGGAGATCGGACAGCTTCTGGTGTGGGAGTGGCAGAGCGAGCAGTATATCATGAAGCAGCAGGGCCACAGCAGCGAGATGACATGCATTGCCTACTCCTCGGATGGTCAGTTCATTGCCACTGGTGGAGAAGATTCCAAAGTAAAACTGTGGAACACGCAAAGCAGCTTTTGTTTTGTGACCTTCAGCGAGCACACAAGTGGGGTGACTGGCATCCAGTTCAGCAGGAACAAAAAGTTCCTGGTTAGCAGTTCCTTAGATGGCACTGTGCGCTCCTTTGATGTCAATAGGTAATGATTGTTTTAGGGTGTTTAATTAACTGTTAATTTAACTAATATTATATTTGCTTTTCAGATACCGCAACTTCAGGACTTTCACTTCACCCACTCCTGTTCAGTTTTCCTGCGTGGCTGTAGATTATTCCGGCGAGTTGGTTGTGGCTGGTGGACAGGATGTCTTTGACATATTCCTTTGGTCGGTGAAAACAGGAAAGCTGTTGGAAATCATCAGTGGCCATGAGGGACCAGTGGCTTCCGTTGCATTCTCCCCAGTGGCCACCTCTTCTACATTGGTGTCTGGATCTTGGGACAAAACCGTCAAGATCTGGAATTGTCTCGAAAGCAACAGCGAGCATGAAACTATTGACGCTCTTTCAGATGTAACGAATGTGACTTTCAGTCCAAGTGGTGAAGAGGTATGTATTGCAATAAAGGCTTATCTTTTTTATTACCTTGACACTCATTTAATTATAATACTTGCAGATTGCCGTGGCCACTCTGAGTGGAAACATCACAATTTTTGACGTGAAGTCCGCCGGCCAAGTAATTACCATAGAGGGCCGCAATGATCTGAGCGGGGGACGCCTGGAAACCGATATAATAACAGCGAAAAAGAATGCTCAAGCTAAGTAAGTTGCATTAAAAACATTTAGTTTTTATTTTATTTAAACTAAATTTCTTGTCAGCTATTTCTCAACGATTGAGTACTCTGCGGATGGCGAATGTATACTGGCTGCTGGCAAGTCGGCCAACATCTGTATTTACCATGTCAGAGAAGCTATACTTTTGAAGAAATTCGAAATCACACAGAACCACAGCTTGGATGGTCTTAATGTGAGTGGAAATAGCTAATGCGTTTTATAAATATTATAACTTAATTATTAAATTATGTTGACAGGATTTTATCAGTCGAAAACATTTAAGTGAATTCGGCAACATGGCACTGGTGGAAGACCGCGAAGAGTTGGAGGGCGGCAAGGTGGCTATTAGATTGCCAGGAGTTCGCAGCGGAGACATGTCCTCCAGGCGATTCCAACAAGAAGTTCGAGTGTTTTCAGTGAAGTTCTCACCCACGGGTCAGGCATTCGCAGCTGCCGGAACCGAAGGACTCTGCATTTATGCCTTGGATAAGGGTAAGACATTAAAATATGCATAAATTAATGGTAATTACATTATTATTTTCCCTCTTCAGGAGTTGTGTTTGATCCCTTCGACTTGTCGCTGGAAGTCACACCGAAAGCGGTCCACGAGTCCCTCAAAAAGCAGAACTACACCAAGGCGCTGGTCATGTCCCTGAAGCTAAACGAGCCCAATTTGATTGCCCTAGTGCTGGAGCGAGTGCCGTATAAGGACAGTAAGTAAAATGCTAAATCGCCTGCTGCATTCAGGGGCCAGTCCTTGTTAGTTTTGGCAACCTTCAGCCATGCCGCTACTAAAAATAGAGGCGACACACTCCGCCGGAGAGGCGGTCGCCTTTTGCCCTGACTCCGTTCTCCGATCGAATGTGCAAATTTGCACTTTTGCTGTGTTAATAAACAGTTTCAAGGTCCTCGCCCCAGCGCTCACCTTGGTTAATAACCCCTTCCATTACCACATGCATACGTTCTGCACAGTATACATGCAAATGTTTGGCCATAAACAGTTCTGCCAGCACGTGTCTGCATTGCATGCATACTGAGTCCCCGCTCCTTTCCCTTTCTTCTTTTAGTCGAACTGGTTTGTGCGGATCTGTCGCCAGAGTTTGCCCAGCGATTGCTGCAACAATTGGCCCGTCATCTTCAGACCACGCCGCACATCGAGTTCTATCTGCAGTGGAGCTGCTGTCTGCTCACCAAGCACGGAAACCAGGATGGAGTCTTTCAGCACACGGGACTGCTGGCCTTGCACGAGGTGCTTTCGAGGAAGTACGAGATGCTCAATAAGATGTAAGTACCACTCTTTTTCATAAACAATTTACCTAAATTATTTTAATTTCATTTAGCTGCGACTATAACAAATACACGTTGAGAGTACTCCTGGATAGAGCCGACAAATTGGAGCAGGAAAATGAGGACAAGCCTACTGCCAATGCAGACGACAGTGATGAGGAAATGGTGCTTATCAGGTCAAAGGACAACGAAAATGGTCAGTCGCAATTCACCGACGAGGAGGAAAGTGCCAGTGACTCCGAAGAAGATATATAGGAGCCAGATCCCTATAGTCTCGTACCTGTTCTCTCGTTTTCTTTGTTACAAAGACCAACAACTACATAGTTTGTTTGATAGATGTACGCGCCTTGTCTTTTATTAAGAATAAATTTAAAGCTTTTCGATAACATTATTAGAGGGTTCACTGAACTACGAGTAGCTGAGTGAACAACATAACTTAAAAGATGGAAAGAATATAGATATTTATATAAACTTAACTTGGTATAGCGGTTACGATCCTAGATAAATATATATGCATGTAATATATAGTGGTGATGTAATGTATTTACATTGTGTCCGTATTTTCATATCAAATATAAACTCGATTTAGCTTAACAAATATATATATGTATGTTCATATTTTCAAAAATTTTGCCTGATGTGCGCTGTTTGAACTACAGGTCAATTTTTAGTATTAGATGTAAAAGCCACAGCTCTAATGTTTGCATTAAAATGCGCTATAATGGATAAATAATTCTAAATATGTAAAAATCTCTAAAAGCATTCACTGTTCGTTTCGTTATTTACAATCCAAATATCCTTAGAGGCCATTTTGTTTATTATCTCCGTAAAGCACCAATTCCATTGTCTTGGCTGATTTGCTTAAGCCTAATACAAAAGTTGAATTAAAATCGTTTTGCCAGAAAATGATTTGCGTGTAGCTCGCAGTTGTTGAGAGTGTATACTTTCGAAGTAGGGACAACCCTCTCGATCGGGGGTATTGTCGCTAGCACAGTGATATACATATGTTCAATATCCGGTGTATATAAGGCGGAACTAAATAAAAAAATTTCGAAAATCGATGTGGTATTATGATTAATGCCTAGAGTAGCTTAAGCTCTTAACCCTTTGGGAGTGCGCGGTGTCCGAGAGATATATATAGGTATACTTCTTCGATTGTGGCATAGACTTTAAATAATATGGGGGAGTGTTCGGTATTGTTGAATACAAGATCGGATTTGTACAAAGCAAATACTCAAATGAACAATACATTCTCCGTGAGCAATAAGTCGACAACTAAGCTATATACTCGGTACATCCGATGTACCCCATCTAGGCTTTGGTAATACCCATCCATGCACGCACTTATATAGGTAACTGTAGACTTCCTTGTGGTTTCTTGTACTTCGATTGCAGGGAGCTGTAAGTGTAAGGACAGCTCTCCCTGCTGATATATTAAGATCCAAAGACGCGGGCCGGTCTCTGGCATTGCACTTGGGCTCTCTAAATCCAGTCCAGTTATAGTTCCATCATCGGGTTAGCGTTCGTTCGACTTTTTAACGGAGTCCAGACATGTGCAGTCTGGAGCTCCCCAAATCCTAGGACGACTTCATCAGCAGTATCGGCCAGTACAGGAGGACGAAGACAAAGAACAGGATGGGGAATACGGCGCGGGACACCTTGTCGATCTCCCGCCACATGATCTTTTCCACGCCGGTATCCGTATCCGTCCAGGCCACAGAAAGTAGACTCTGCCGCCTTGCCGGCTTTGGCGGTCCGCCATTACCTTGGAGCGAGGTCTACGGAATAGTTGCACCAAAACATATATAAGGTTATAAGGTTATGCATTACCAATATTTTGGAAAATTTTTTAAAGCGTTTTCACCCCCATTTAGACCCGTTCAATTGCAAGTTTGATGTGCGGACATGACAGGTGCACTGGTTCCCCCCGCATATCAGTGGATAATAGCTCACCTGGCCCGGTGTCGTGGGCGTTTGAGTGGCTTTCCGCGACCGCACCGCTCCGCCCTCCCAACTGGCCACCGTCGCACACTGGCCCTTCTCCATGTTGCTGATGCGCTACGCGGGTCCAATCGAAATCGGAACGGAACGGAATGGAACGGATGGAACGACAAGAGGTGGCATTACTTATTAAAACGATATCCCCACAGCTGCCTTACCATGGGCAGTACCTTGGGTATGCGGTTCACCTGGTACTGGTACTGCACGTCCAGCACCTTCACCACCACGAACTCGGCCAGAGCGGCGAACACCGACAGCATGCAGCCGGCCATCCACAGGTCCAGGGCCTGAAAACGAAGGAACCATTAATTATAACCCTTGAAAATAGTTTTAATCAATATGAACCCAAGAACTATCCTTCTGTATACTACTTCTACTTCTACTACTTCTGCTTCGAAATTGTTTAATGTTTTAAATGAAGGTTTTTTAAAATGTCTAAGCCAATCAAATGTTTTACCTAAAGCCCGAAAATCTTTTCTTCGAAAACATCATTTTCTGATTTAAAGTTTTAATATGCAAAAAATCCTTTTTCCTATAAATCGTCAAAATGTTCAAGTAAGAAAATATTACAACTCAATTGAGGATCTTAAAATGCTTCTTATCTTATAATTTGGGATTCCATTTTCGGTAGACTTGATTTTAGAAATATGTATCCTGTCAAAAAAAGGAAATATTGTAATTTACAGAACTCACCTTAACGTACGCCACTGGCGGAATGTCGGCGCCCGTGAACATTGTGACCAAGGTCAGCATGCAGGTGACCAGCAGCGTGACCCGTCCCGGGATGGCGTCCAGTCCCAGCCAGAAGCTGAACCAGGAGAGCATCACCACCAGCGAGGAGGGGGCGAAGGTCTGGATGAGGTGGTGGCCGATCTGGCGCTCGAAGCGGAAGTACACGGTGAGGCGGGAGAAGTTGCCCACCTTCTCGGGCATATAGCCGTCGCTCTCCTCCAGTTCCAAGGGCTGGCCGAGATTGTACTGCAGCAGCTTCAGTTCCGGATTGAGGGTTACCCCGGAGTCCGACCAGCGCAGCTTAACTTTCTGGTTGTTTGACGAGACTTCAAAGGGGAACACCCATTAGATCCCACTCGAATCCCTCACTGAATCACTTACAGCTCTCGATGTAGATGGGACACACCTGGATGTCCATGGGGTACAGCTGGAACTCCATCTGGCAGGCGATGATCGCGTGCATCCTGGCTGCATAGCGCACCGTCTTGTTCTTGTAGAGCGTCACCGACGTGAACTTGTGGGTCAGTGTCGCTATTTCTACAACGAAAAGACATCGAGAAGACGTTGCAGAGATGCGGAACAAATGGGTTTTGATTAGAACTATGGCATTGGCATCGATAGACTCATTTCTTTGCGCATTTCGGTGGTGGTTCAGTGGTTTTTGGTGGCTCAATTGGGGGTGCCGTGATCGTGATCACCTTATCTCTAGTTTCAAGCGCGACTTTCTACTGACGACGAATGATTCTCGTTTGAAATCGGAAATTATATATACATACACTACATATTGGATGATTTCTTTTAAAATATTGTGAAGGTAAAAATTTAAAGGATAAAATAAACATGAAGAATATTTTTTTTACACATTTGAATGACAGAATCTTTAAAATCTTTCTCGGGTTAGAACGTAACGCAAATACCAAACCAAAAAAATTTAAAAATTGAATTAAAATATTATAATAAATTCATGTTTTTTTCTATTAAAATACTATCACAAAAAAAGGACATAGAATGCATTTTTCAAATCATATCTGAGTGGTTGACTCTCCGTATTAATTATAAAAAAAAGGCACAATCACTATAAATAAATTCCCAATAAAATTACTACAAAAATAAGTAAAACAAAAATGACTATTTAAAAATAGTACATGACGCTGCCAAATTCATAGCTATTTGTTCAAATTAAAAAGTTTTATTCGGTGCCACACCTTTGGGTTATAATGATAGACAAATCGTGACAAAGAATGTATAAATAAAGCTTGACCGATTTGGAATCGATTTTTGTTCCGCAAATGTTGACAATGGCAACAAAAAATGAAAAAAAAGGAAGGAACCAAATTGCCAACGGGGTGCACACGTGATTCCAAGGTGAGATCTTATCAGGGAACTTCGGGTGCAACTGCAAATTTTCATTTCGAATTTGGAGCGTGGGCAATTGTCAGAGGAGAGGTGGAGGTGGGTGTATAGAGTATAGGGGTAACACTACGGTGGATTGGAGTGTCCTGTTTGACCATGGCATTGGAACCGGATTGGATTTCGTGCGTATAATGAGGGCCGCAGGTGGGCGGATCCGGTATTGGGTGGGTAAATTATAAAAAAAAGAAAACCTTAAATGTACACTGGGTTGTTCGCTAGAAATGGGATGTATGGTTATATATACACACAACGAACTATATGGCGCGAGAGAATTCATTGAAATCAGCCCAGTACGTAACGTAGTCGGTATAGATATAGAATTCGAAGAATGTTGAATATACAGGATACATTTGGATGGAAGGTATGCGCTGATACTGATTTTGATACTGATTCGATTGGTCGATGGATTTTGGCAAAACACAAAAGTGGCAAACACAGATCTAGAGTCATTTTTGATATACTTATATCTTTGTCTAGATGAAAGTTTTTCGAATCTCTTTCACCCTTATTGCGTAGCATGGAAGTGGACGCAACATATGGACTTCCGTATCCTATGCAGAATCGGTATTGGTATTGTTAGTTCGGGAATTGTTAGTCGGTAGAGTAACCGGTTGAGTGGATTAGGAATAAAAAAACAAACAAACAAACGAAAAGGAAAACAAAGTAATTCGTTACTATATACAAACGGTCCAGAGTTATAGAGAGCTAGTTAATTAGACACTTAAGGTGATGAGCTCAGCTGGACAAAGTGCAAGAGAATCGACTATCCCGGCCCAAGATACGTAAATTACACATCGACATACACACACAGAGAGACTAATCGAACATGAAGCTTAGATAACTACAATATTTCTACAGGGGATTGGGTTTGAACGTACCGGCAATCTTGGAATTGAGAAAGTAGGGATCCGGCTGCCAAAAATTCTCAAAGACCTCTGGAAGCAGCGTCACGTAGTCGTCGCCCTCCTCGAAGATGTCGTCCGGGATCTCCAGACGCGACTCCAGCCAGCGCTGGTGTATAAACATGTCTACTCTGAAAATGTACACAGTATTGCTAAAAGCTCCATTACGGTCTCCCGGTTGAGTTATCTCTTCAGACACGAGCGGCGCACTTACCTAAAGTCCATATCCTCTACGTTAATTGAGTTAATATCTACAACGAATATGCTAAAGTCTACTATCACTGGGGAGCCCTTCTTCGAGGGCGGTCGTATCTCTGCAATAAATCAAGGCGATCTCCGGTTAGTTCACCTTTTTGGTGTGAACAGCTCACAGAACCCCCCCGTTCGAATATTTTGGAAACCTTTCGTGCGCGAATTCATTTCCAAGCGGGCCTCCGTCTGGATTCTCTCAAAAAAAAAAAAGGGAAAAGGAAACCCCCGACTTCTGCTCCGACTTTTCGCCAAGTTCAGGGGCATTCTGCGGTTCCAATGCGTATTACACAACCGACGAAAATCGATAGGAATAAAGGTGTTGATTAACTCTAGCAATTGCCTCAAATGAAGAGTACACGCCTCCGGGTAATTTCGGTAAATTATTCATAGCTTTGAGGTCGCTTCTGGCGAAAAAATGTAGCTATTGCATAAGTTGAAAGTTCAAACCTCGATTTTGTTGATTTTATTGGAATCCAGTTTCATTTGAATTTAATACAAAAATAGCATAATTTTGAGGCCATTATTTACTTACAATCAAGACATTAAAAAACAAGTAGGGTCAACGGCACGATACCCCAAAAATATATCATTACATTTTACAATTTCCCGGTAACTCAAAGCACGTTATTAACCAATCAGACTAATTGGTTCAACAACATTTTGACTGGATAACAATCTGTTTATTTTCAATTTATTTGTCATACAAAATTTATTGATTGTGTTGAATAATTTGTGGTCAAGTTTAAGTTTATTGAACTCTTGACATAATTCGTTTTATTTCTTTTTTATCATTTTCTGAGATTAAGAACAAGCTTAAATAATGAATAAAACAAATTACTTAGCTATATAAAAAGAAAGATAATCAATAGAAGCTCACAGGTTGAAGAGTTTCCGTTTAGCATGAAACTATTTATGGAATAATGGAACTTTAATGCCAGCTCTTTTAAGATCTTCAGATTAAAGAAATTCTTTGGTAATTCTGGCAGGCAATTGACGCCGGTAAATGTTATTTTGATTTTAATCGATCGTAATGCCGGATGACGTCAAAAGTGCCACCTGAGAGACTGGGTGCCCCGTAACCCGTAACCCTAACCCACTATTTCATAGACGGAGGCCCTGAAATTCGCCGCGTCACGAAATGAAAAGAACACAAGCAAAAAAAAAAAAAAAAAAAAAAAGAAAACGAAAAAAATCAAACAGTGAAAAGGAAAAACCCAAACACGCATATCCATATCCATGGCTGGCGGTTTTTCATGGTGCAAACAAATCAGAAATCACAGAAAACAAAAGAAAAAGAAATCACCGGGGGCAATCCGTAGCAATTAAAAAGAAAAGGAGACCGCATCGAAAAGGACACCTCCGAGGAGTACGATTCTCAGGCCGTAACAATTGCATTGAACGGTTGGCTTGGTTGGTGGATCGGGGGGTATATAGCTATAGCCTAAGGTACTGGTATTGGAGGTGCAGTTCAACTTACCCTTGACATAATTAGGCGGAAGAACTACTCGCGGCTTGGCTGTGTAGTTCATGTGGGCTTCCGTGGCTTCGCTCAGCCTGCAAAATGAGCAGCACAAAACAAAGGTAAGGGGTAATTCAAATGCAGTCCATTTCACGGTGTTTAGGTGGAAAGAAGAGGCAGGGGTATAACCCCCCTTTCTCCACCTTTCAAGGGTCGGGGGGCATTTGAGGTCTTTGGGCCTGATGTCTGCCACATGCAACTGTAGCAAAACTTTGTCAATTTAAGTCTGAATTTGAAATTAACTTCCTTCGTGCTGGCCCGGGACTTCGATTCGATTCGGTGCTGATTCTGTTTCTGTGTTCAGCCATTTAACCTCCTGGCAGGCGAATAATAATATTAGTTTCCTCCTTTTCCAATCGGCTGGTAAATGCCGTGCAGGATTCTCATTTGACTGTGATCCAATTGACCTTGCCATGGGTATTTCGAACCGAAACCGAACCGAAAACGAACCGATTTTCCATTTGTGGCAGTACGAAGGTTCCCCCCTTGAACTGGAAACGATTCTGGGTCTGGGATAAAGTGGGGGTTGCACTTGGCGACTACTCCCAACTCCAGATGGTTGGATACAAAGAAGAGTGTGGGGAATGGGGAGTAACTCGATCTTACCACATCAGTATGAATCCCAGTCCAAACGATATGAATGCGTTTGTGTTGAATTTGTCGAGCATGATGTTGGGGCGACGGCACGGGAAAGGATTTGTAACACAGACCTCAAATCATCTCACTTTACACCGACGTGGGAATTTCATAATTCGGTTTCTGTAACACAATATTTTCGATCATTTGCATTTGCTCGTTGCTGATTTTTATTCTTTTTTTTTTATTTTTATTTTTTTATTTCTTGGGACTTTTGTACTGTTGGTCTGCTCTTACATTTTGTTTTGATTTGAACTTGCTTTGCTCTCTGGCTGTTTTCTTTTCTTTTTTGGGGCTTTCACTTCATACACGACACGAACACTGAACAAAAGGTATTATATATAGAGAGAGAGCAGAGATCGTATATAGAAGGGGTCCTGGTTGGTTGGGTTATCGTTATCCGCAGGGTTCTACCTCCGACTCGGCTGCTGTTCGGAACTCGAATAAAAAAGAGCCGAGTTTCGGCGGCGAAAGAGTGCTCATCTAGATACGAGTACGAGTATCTGTATCCGCATCTGTGATATGTAGATTCCACGCCCGGCTGTGTGGGCGTGCGATTGCGGATTGCGAACCTAAACTGATATCTACAGTCGGAACTCTCTAACCGAAACACAATTTGTTGTACTTTTTGGAATGTAAATAAAAGTCAGGAGAAGTGAGAATTAGTTGCTTTTTATCGAAATTCTTAGATCTCTTTTGACATAGCAAATAAATAAATTACACAAAAAGCTCTTTTGACAGAGCAAATAAATAAGTATTCAAGGACCTAATCCACTATTAATCAAGTGTTTGTTTGAAAACAAACCTATTAATGATAAAGTATATTGTATTCAATAACAAAAAGTAATTTATAAACCCTCACAGAAATCTTAAAAGAGTATTGTTTTAAATTTACCAGAAAAATCTGTTTTCTGGAGAATATATTTCTTTTATCAGAAGAGTAATGAAATTAGTAGATATTGGGTATGTTTGAACAGTGACTGAACCCTTAAGGCTAAAATATGTTCAAATATTTAAGTTTATTATAGCTTCATTTTGTAACGCCTTTCTGAAAATCAAAACTGCAGAAAGACTGTGAATAAAATAAATGGATTTCTTGTGGGAAATGACAGTTCAAGCTGAGGAATTTCCCCTGTATCAGTGGACGGGGAAGGGTTGGAAAGAGCTCGAGCGGAGGAGAAGCTCCGCCGGCGGTCAAGGCATGGCACAGTACTACTGGTGGCCTGGTAATTGCCTCGGCACAGGGCACACAGCACACAGCACAGCACACTTCTCGCCAAGATTCAATTGAATCGCGTGCCAATTTTACTTAAGTCGCTGAACAGACAGACAGCTTTCGCGGTGGCCGGTGTAACAGCTCAATCTATGCGAGTATTTATGCGACCGATATCTGGCAGATACGCGAAGAAGATATGGATAGGTGGATGGATAGATCGAGGGCCTCAATTGCAGGCTTCCTGGAGAGTAGCACACACATAATTGCCTGGACATCCATCCACTTCCTATAAATTACTTTCTGCCGCTGACATTGGCAATGGCAATGGGTATTTTTTTGCGCAAATTAAAAATTCCACTTCCAGATCTGTCAGCGGTCAAGCGACCATATAGCTACTATATATTTGTATATAGATACGAGTGTATGCAGATCGTGAGATGAACTGTATCCGGCTAAGCCCGTCGGCAAGTGTCGTCAGTGGTGTGGGCACACACAGATACGGATCTTGGATCTTGGATGTTGGATGTTGGACAGGAATGCCTAAATCACTCACACCATATATGTCATAACGTTAATCTCACAGATACATTTTCTAAATACTCGCCGAATGGTGGACATTACTTTGATTGAGAACACGCACTAACTGAGCAGAGATGAGATCCATCAATCTTGCCGGTCGGCTCTGTTCAAAGATCCGCGTTGGATTAATATTAATGGTGTACTTCATTGGCCCCAACATGCCGACGGATTTTGGTTATATAAAAGCCAGGATTTTCGATCCCCGGCAATTACATTAATTATGTAGTTAGTGACTGCTATTAATGCTCCAGCGGGGCTTCCATTTCCCGAAAAATGGCCCAAAAATTACGCGACTTTAACGCCCGCCTCACGCGAACTCCGCTGTGGTACGCCCATTATAGTACACACGAGTGTATCCAGCCCAGGGCATATTATTCAGATATTATATAGAGGGGGAAATTACCGCGCTGCGGGAACGAAGCGCGCCCGAATCCGTTCGCCTTCGCTCAGGAACTAAACTGAACTGAAGAACGGAACGGAACTGAGCTGTGAAAATACGCGAATTTCTTCTTGGCCGCTCGCCTTGCCAACTTTAATACGACATACGAAAAAATCCCCCAACGTTCATTGGAGGCATTGGAGGCCCAGGCACGACAACCAACTGTAACGGGTTTCCACTTACAACGCGGGGAGTTGGACTCGCTCGCCGCCCGGAATGCGGAATGGGGGATACCAGGGGGTCTGGAAGGACGATTGCATGGGACGGAGCTTTGGTTCGCTCGCAAATTGGTGTTGGATTGCCTGGAAGTGTGTTTGGGATTTTCTAATCCCCATATCCCCCTTCTCCATTCCCCACATGAGAATGATCAAATGAATAGGCTGTTACCAATAACTGTCACAAATCCATCTGCATGTCTAACTTATTGAAGGACATTAAAGGACTTTGCAGAAAATAAATCTGGGGAAAAACAATGAGTAATAATTGGTTGTAATACTTATAGGATTCTTTAATTTTGCATAATTTAATATCACAATAATAATTAAGTATGTGATCTTTAAGTTCATTTTTGGGTTTTTATATTTTTGTAAGGTTTAAGCTAAAAACAGGAACATTTACGTTTTTCTGTATCAGAAAACCTTCAGTTTTTTTGAAACGATCTAAACGAGATTGTTTAGATTTCATTGGTCTTTTGTTAAAACCCATTTGACATTTCTTTCATATATGATATGCAGTTGCCAACATTCAAGGGTTCTAGATATATCCCTAGCTATTAGTGCTGACTGACATCGGTTGGGTTTTCCAACAAAGTGCATGCGAGTTGACTTGAAAATTCCACAAAATAACCAAAACACTAAACAACTGCCACACCAGAGCGAATCCCCAACCCCATCCGCCGACCCAACCTGCCATTATAACCAGTGCCCAAGGGCTGGAAACGAGGCCTGAATGGCCCCCAGACCTCAGCCCTCGTGGGAAATTTCTATATGGCTGTGTAAATACAAATCGCGTTTGTAGAACCGACTCTGGCTATACTATATATGCTGTATGGTATATGGCGCACTGACACAGGCTTCCCGTGCATATAAGTACTTGATGTATAGTAGGCGCTACTACAGGCTGTACTATACATATGGACTTACGGCAAGGTAAAACAGCCACTTTGTTATGACATTCCTGTAGTTGCTGTTGCTGCCACTCGCCCACTGACAATGAATTGGAGTTTATTTTATATTCGCCTCGATTGTCTTGCTGTTGATTCCGCTTTATGTCCGCCCGTCGAGCTAGTTAGCAGCTCGCGAATCGCTAGACTAAACTTGTTGTCAGCCAGCCAGTCAGTCAGTCAGTCGGTTGGGGTTTAATTGCCGCCAGGCAGGACATTCGCCGCGTTCCTTTCCAGGGTATCGCGATGTGGCATAGTTTGCGGCGGTTTATAGCCCGTGCGCGTGCGGCACAGTCAGCCACTTTGATTAATGGCCAACTGACAACTGCCAACTGACGATGACGCCAACAAAAGGAGACATCTCGTGGCGACTCCAACTCCCGCAGTTAATGCATATGATTAGCATTAACGATTTCGGTAATTACGGCAACAGTTTGTCGGTTTATCCAATCCTTCGTTTATAGATATCACTTAACATATACGCCTGTGTATACATTTCACATTTAAGCCTAGAGAACAGAGCCGGAAACTTAAGCTAAACAATGGAGGCTCCTTGCTGGTTGGTTCGCTGGTTGATCTTCACGTGCGTCTGCCGCTTCTTCTCCTCCTTGAAGGCCTCCGTGTTGGCCTTCTTTTCGATGCGGCGCTCGTTGCGATAGTCCTTCAGCAGGCGCTTCCGCTCCTTCTTCTCCTCGGGGGTCTCGTCCTTGGGCCTGATGGACAGGACGCTCAATGTGGAGAGCACCGACTTGGCGCAAAGTGATTTTGGCCCAGTGGCAGCTGGTGATTCATCTTCTAGATTGGCTAAAGCTTTGGCTGTGAGTTGGCCATCGACGCCATTGCGTAGGACATTCGTGGGCAGTCCTGTTTTGGGATCGATCTGGATGGGAGCTGGATTTGTGCTGGCACTGGAGCGACGACTGCGTCGCGGCTCATCAATCAGCTTGGGATGGTTGTAGATATTCGAATAGGTCGAAAGGATGGACTCACAGTCCCACTTCTTCTGCTTGGGATCCTCAACCTCGTACTCCACCAGCTCCTCCGTGGGATCCTGCTCACCCTCAACCACATTTTTATACTTTTCAATGCGCTCGCGATCCCACTCCTTGTTGTATTCAATGGTCTTGTCCTTCTTCTTGAACTCTTTGAAGCACTGCATGACAACAGGATGTTTTTGGTGCCAGTTGCCTTCAATGTCTTCTAAAGCCAGATCGCCCAGCTCCGGATCATCGTAGCTGGCGTAGAACTTCTCAAAGCGATCATCTAACAACGAGAGCTGCTCGTTACGTCGAATAACGCTGGAAGACATGGAGTACTCTGTGAACCGCGACTTGACCTCCTCGTCATCGAAGCGACGTTCGCGCATGAGAGGTGCCAACCGGTCCATTAGTTCATCATCGTCTTCCTCCTCATTCAGGTCATCGGAATCAAAGTCCATGTCGGAGTGCTCCTCCTCATCCTCCTCGCCATCCCATTCTTCGTCATCGGAGCCTTCAGCCATGGCCTGCATCACAAAGTCATCATCCAGCTCCTCCTCGTTTTCGCAATCGCTGTCCAAGGCGGCCACCACATCGGGATCCCAATCGAGGCGAAGACTTTGTGGAGCTGCCTTGTTTAACATGCCCTCTTTCTCCTCGAACTCACTGGCGAACACGGAGCTGGGCAGGACTAGTTTAGGCGATGGGCCCGGCTTATCTGCATCTTGAAGCTTCTGTTTCCTGGCCTGATTGGGGTTTTCCATATACTCCCAAACCACATCGTTCTCCCGCTTCTTCAAGTGCTGCATGTAATCGTAGTCATCGTCGAAATGGATTCCGAACTTCTTCAGTTCCTCCTGACGCTTGGCGGGATCGGTGGTTGGTTCTGGTTCCTTGGGCTTCTGCTGACGGGCAGCTGCCTCCAGGAGCACCCTCTGCGGCGCATTTTCATCGGTGACCAGCGGATCGTGCTGACTGCGGTGCACCAAATGGAAGGTCACCGCCTTCTTGCGGTCGATGTACGGCTTTTTTCCTTTAACCTGCAGTTGGGGATTGCTTGTAAGTGGGGTTTCAACCAGAATTTAAGCTTTTTTACCCACCATTATTGGATTGTTTTTTGGAAAACTTTTCTAAAAACAAGTAAACACATGTGCGCTAGAGGTGGAAAAGGGGCGATGTTTAGCAAAATACTATCGATGTTTAAAAAAATATGTTTATATCGATATTTTGAGTAAAATTGTCGATTATTATTGCGGAATAAACTATTGTTTAAGGAAACCAACGGATTTATTTAAAAACGGATTTAATTACTTAAAAAATGTGTACTATCTTTATCTATTTATAATATATTTAATTTTCACTGTGATAGTGTAAAAGGATAGCTAGAAATAGGCGCCAAAATATTAAACTAAACAAATTCCATTGCTGCATTGAACCAAATAAAAATAAAAAAGTGAAATAATCTCGGTTGCAAGCTACAATAATAAAGTAAAGTACTAGACAATTATTAATTAGTTACTTGTGCCTAACCCTATAACCATCTCTTTAAACAAATATTTATTTTATTTAGTACAATCTACTCTGTAAATTATGCATGCTAAATCTACACGTGTAGAAACAAATCTACATATGTATAAGTAATTATACATCTTGACACATGTAGCAGAGTAACGGCAATTTAAAATAAAATAAACCGTAGGTAATAATGTCAAAGGACAATAAATGGAATGCCTAACAATTTGCAAAAATAAAGAAGTCACAAAATTATTTTATTTGAATATTTATTAGTTCGGTTTTACTTGTTGTATGTACATTTACAAACTTGTCACCTTAACAACAATTGTACACTCGCAATGTTTTAAATACACTTGGGTGTGAATCTGGTTGAATTTCCATTTGTAACATTCATGGATCCGTAATCTCAGCAGACTTCGAAGGTTAAGCATAAACAAGGTCGTTGAAACAATATATACGATGCTAGACAGTAATAATAGTTAGCCTAAATAGTAAAATCATTCTCTTCTACCGATTAAAAGCTTGCAGAATATCAACTTAAAGTAAATCAGATGTTTCGAATATCAGGCTCCTTCCTACTCGTAATTATACTCACAGTCCTTACATTTTTTTTTTTGTTGTCAGTTAAAAGTTAGTTTTGTTGTTTATTTTTTAACATTTCTTGACATGCACAGATCAAATTCGAAACGAAGCTTAGTTTTCAATTTGTAAACGATACGCAGGATATGCTAAAAATAAGTATACGCTAGTCACTTTTTGAAGATCGGTATATAGTTATTGCCTATAGTGTTTTTTTCTGGGTGCCGGAGCCGAGCAGGTCGCATTTGTCTTTGGATGACCTTGACCCTCCGGCGCCCTCACTTTGATTTCTTTTGCGTTGCTTTACATTTAGTTTTGTTTTCTGTTCTTTTTAGCTAATGTATATAATGATAATTTGATTATTCCCTTAGTAATTTTGTTGCTCCTCAATTTTGCGAGAGAGAGAGCATCACTAGACAAAAGCACTTGGATTGCAGCTAGGCTAGGTACAGTCTGGTCTGCCGAGGATCGGGAGATCAGGAGAGATCCCTCCTCTCTACTTGAGTGCCTCCTTGGCCCTCTGCTCCCACTCGGCGCGTCTCTGGTGGATTCCCTTGAACTCGCCCACGGTGGCTGATCGCTCGATGGGTTTGCTAGGTGTTGCTACTCCTGCTGTTGCTACTGCAGATGTTGCTGCAACAGGTGTTGCTACTGCTGTTGCTGCTGCTGCCACCGGAGACGTTGGAGTAGCCTGCTTCAGCTGCAGGGAAAACCTCTCAGCTGGCTTTGCACTTCCATTATTGTTGCTCAAATTGTTATTCAAACTATTCCTTCCTGCATTGCTGACTTTGATGGGTGGCAGATAGGTGACCACCTTGGTGGCAACCTTCTGTTGTTGCTGCTGCTGCTGATTGTTGTTGTTGTTGTTGTTGAGATTGCGGAAGTCTGCCACCGAGTTGCGGTTGCTGCTGGGATGATGGGCCACCTTGTTGGCATCCGTCGTTCCAGGATGCGCCAGCTTGTCCAGCTTCTCCTCGCTGTTCGACTGGTTCTCCTTGTCGCTGTCCACGCTCTGACCTCCGCCTCCAGTGGATGGCATCTTCTTGGTCACCGGACTTGTAGCCTGAACCTGTGCCGTCAGGGTGACCACGTCGTCATCCTTCACCTTCAGCGATCGGCGGGCAAAGACCTTCATCAATTCGGGCGTGGGATCGTCCTTGGTGGGACTGGGATTGCCATTGCAGCTGGCGAAGGACTTCTTGCGCAGCACAACGGGATTCGAGGTGGGTGAACTGTTACCATTAACTTCGCTTAATTCAGGTGTCGTCGGAGTGACCGGGGTCACTGGAATGGCGGGCGTGGCTGGAGTCACCGAGGGAGTGGGCGGTGCACTGATCTCCGCCTTCGGAATGGACTTCCTCCGCTGCTCCATCAACTTGGGTCGCTCCTCGCTGAGGAACAACCGCTTGCGATCCTCCAGCGACAGGCGATTGCTCTTCACCGACTCTTTGCTATCTTTAGGATTGCCCTGTTCCTTGGAATCCTTAGATTCCCTGGTGGGACTCTTGATCCCCTTCGACAAGCCATTGCTCTTTGGTGTACTTGGAGTCGTAGCAGGTGTCACTGGGGTGGCTAATCCCTCACTGCTGCTGCCGTAACTCGTTCGCACACTATTGGCACTCACGGATCTCAGCTGCTTACCCAAACTGGGTTCCAATGTCGTTGGTCTGACCACCGGACTTAAGGGCTTAGGTTGGGGATGCTCTATGATTTCAATCCCCGCCAGATTCTCGCCACTGTTCCTTCTGAAACTCAAGTCATCGCTGCTCTGACTTCGCTCCGTGGGAGATTTCAGGTTCTTGGCCAGCACCACATGGTTGGTCTTGTTGTGCAGACGCGCCTGATCCACGCGGTTCAGTTGGATCTTCATGAACTCAGGTTCCCCGGAAGTGGTCTCCACATTGCTTGAGTTCCTGCGACTGTTGCTGTTCGAGGAGCTCTGATTCTTGGCCGGAGTGCTCGGTGGACTGTTGGAGAGCTTGGCACTCTTGGTGAGAGGACTTGCAGGACTGGGAGTTGCAATCGCGGCAGGAGCTGGGCTCTTTGCTCCCAAATCAAGCAGCTTGGGTCGCTGCTTGGTCGGAGTAGTTGGCTCCTTCGGAAGCTTCTCCACCACATTGCCCGATTTCCTCAGCACACTCACCATGGGCGACTTCACAATCAGATCGATGTTGTGCTCGATCTGGGAGATGTTCGCTGATCCCGGACTGCTCACAATCAGCTTCGTGGTGGCCGCTCTTTGGGGAGAGGGTTTCCCCTGGGATGGCAACTGGCCAGCAGATTCAGCTCGTGCCTGGAGCAACTTGTTGTCGTTGATCTCGAATCCCAGGGAAACGCACTTGGTATTCGGTGAGATCGGGGAGCAGGGTGATTGCGGCGACTGTTTGTAGTAGGCGGGCACCCTAAAACTGAGTGAGAGATCCGGCAAACTGGGCATGTTGTTGTGCACCGATGCACCGATGGAGTCCACCGTCTCATCCTCGTAGTTGCGGAAGCTGCGCGACTTCTCCACCGTCTTGCGCTGCTTCTCCTCGTAGTACAGTGGCGAGGGCTCATCCGTGCTGGTCTCCAACGAGTTGGAGGAGCTGGAGTGCTGGCCCACTGAGTCACTGGATCGCGACAGCTTCTGCTGGAAGGCACTTAACCCTACGATCCTTGGCTTCCTTTCGAAGTGCGTGGAGGTCTCCACTTTGGTCTGCTGTTCCCGCACCAAAGTGGTCGACTGGAAGGTGTCGTTGCCTCGCGAGCTCTTCGACAGCAGGTTGGTCACATCGTTGCTGGAGGAGATCTTCTCCACCGGGGAAACTGCGCCCAATTCCTTGGGCATGTACCTCTGCCGGGCAGCTGGACCGGATTTGGGTTTCAGTGGCGTCGGAGGTTGTGGATGAACTCCGTAGTTGCTGACCATGGCATTCAATCCGTGTCTGCCCTCGTTGTGAATCTCCCTCTTGATGGTTTGTCGCGTCTCCTGGATGTGCTGCTCATGGGAGGTGGCACTGCGCGACTTATCCGGCACCTGGACGGATTCCCGAGCAGCTGCCTCCAAGCAGGACGTCGAGATCTGCAGCTTTTTGGCCACACTCTGACTGGAGTCGGTGTCCTCCACTCCATCGTTTGCCCTGGCTATCGATCTCTTGGAATTGCGATGGATCAAGCGCCGCAGGAAGCCACTCTCGCTGTGCTCCCGTTCGTTGGCCAGGAAGTCATCGCCATCCGTGGAGGACTCCCCGCGATTCTCCAGGAGAGTATTGCTCTTGGTGGTCAGACCTCTCAAGCCAAACATCTGAGTGGAGGAGGAGGAGGCGGAGGTGGAGGAGCTGCTCGTGGTCACTTTGGTGGTGCTGTTGATGCTGGAGCTCTGCTCGATTGTCTTGGTTCGCTTGGTGGTCACCGAGCTGGCGGGGATCACCTGAGCCGGCGGTGCAATGGCAGTCAGAGTCTTCGGTGGCAAAGAGCGCGTCTTGCTCTTGAGTTCGGCATCTTAAGAAAGGAAGTTAATTCATCAGTAAAGGTTTATCTATTAATTGATAAGTTACCTACCATGAACCGCTCGCAATCCCGGACTCATCTTCATCACATCCTCGTTGGCCTCCGGAATGGAGGTCTCCAATGTCATGCGATGAGTCCTGGTGGGTCCCTTCTTCTTCACCGGCCGAATGGCCATTTTGTGCTTGGCCGCCGCATGTGAAAGGCGATGGCGTTCCCCACCCACCGCATCCACATCGTCCTCGTGATGGGGTCTCAGTATATCCGATCCTATGGATATCGATGAACTGGTGGACACTCGCGAGTGGTGTCGCTGGTGATGGGAGCCCTGGCTGTCCTCCGTTTCCGCCTCGGCACTGTTGACGCTCAGCAAACTTAAAGAGGAGACCTCGCTCTGGTGACCCCGCAACTGGTGGTGACCCACTCCGGAGTTGTTCCTGCTGCTAGTGCCACCAGCTGCTCTTCTTTGCGGAGAAGCTGGGCTGCGGGGCAGACCCAAATCCTCGTCGGAGGCATCGGGTCGATTGCGTCGCTTGCGCAAGACATCTGTGAGTTCCGCCTGAAATGGTAAAAAGAATATGTTATTAGGGTTTCATAAGGAGGTATTAGACTATAAGGGGGGTATTGGGTTTCAAGGTTACCCAGCTTTTCCAGCGGAAAACGAAGCGTGCCCGCAGGCAACTGCGTCCCAGGCGACTTTCGCCCATGGAAGAGCCACCCAGCTTCATCTTGAAGGGATTCTGCTTAAAGTCGATCATTTTAAAGGCCTCACAACGCAGACGAGACTACAAATGACTTTGGGAGAAACCCTAATTTAGCTGGGTAACTGTGGCTTTAAAGAGAACTGCGATTCCTTATGTAGTACAAATAAAAACCCCTTGAAATTCTTACCGCAAACGAAAGCTGGAAGGGATTGGCCTGCGCCCTCAGAGAACCCGAACCTCCGGCTACCATTGTGCAAAATAAGAAATAATGGAAATATCTTCGCCAAAGGGGAACACGCGATCCCAAAGATTTCACTTTCAACTCGAGCAGCAGACAACTGGCGACACCCAAGTGCAATGTGCAACTGAAGATTTTCAGGCAGATGCATTGAGAGTGAAATGAAAATGAAAACGAAACTGAAAACGGGAATGGAAATGGAAATGGCGTCGCAAATGCCTTTTACCTAGACAAATATAATTGAGTGCAAGGCAGGCACTGGAGATCTGTTTATTGTCAGCCTTCGCCTGATTTTCAAGGGTAAGAAAATCGCTTCTCCGTCCAGCAAAGTAAACAAACGACCACGAAAACGAGGCGCAAACCATCCTCCCACTCCCGGAATTCCCTACTTTTCAGATCCCATGTCGTTCATCTATCAGAGTTTGCGGCGCGTGACGTCGCCATCTGTTTGTTGGACTCGTTTCTAGACGGGGCTGCTATTTCTGGTAGCTGGTAGCTGGCAGCTCACTGCCCGAGGATTAGGTGCCGGGGTGCCTCAGGTTAAAGACCCCAGCCATCAATTCTAGTCAAAGGAACTGCAATTGGGGATTCGGGGGCGAGTTCAATGTTCTGCAAGATAATTTATTTGGGCGCCTGTTTTTCCCTTGCATAATTGCAGTAGGCAGAAGGCCAAGGAAGGCTATTCTACTTATCTAGAAAGTTAATGTTAAGGTGTAAACATAAACAAAAACTAAAACTAACAGATTGAATAGAACCTGTATGTACTTTTTTAAACAATACATTAATGAAGTTTTCTTTTTTAATATGAATGCATTTGGAGCTAGCTTAAATTTCATCTCTGGTAAAAAAGGAAATTTTATGGATTAGGTGTCATAATTGTGTTACACAAATAGAAGTAATAGTTCGTAGGCAATGTTTAGATAAATTCCATTCAGAAATTCTTATTTATCTTTTATAAAAATTCATCGCTCAGTACCAACCAAAAATATTTTACACAATCTTACACAGCTGCTATCTCTCAAATTTCGCGGAATTTTCGATGGTGCAAAAAGTATCTGGCAGGTACTTGCCATCCTGCGACCCTTAACCCATTATTCTCGAGTGCTACCTGCGCCGGTAGATGGCCACTTCTCAGCCAAGTTCCAGTTCGCTTTTGTGTTGGAAAATCACGGAACGGACTCGGCCCGTCACGTTCACTGATTTATTGGCCCACTTGGTTTGGCTTGGCGAGTTGGCCAGCTTAGCTTAGAAGAGGAAGACGGGGGATGGAAGCCAGTCAGTGGCCAGTGGCCAGTGGATAGTTGGATATATAGCTCCCAACATGGCCACACAGAGACGCCAACATTGATTACCGCAATCCGAAGTGGGGGCTTTTCGTCCAGAGAGAACGGGCACAACAACCATCAACCAACAGCCAACAGCAGTTGGCCAAGTGGGCGGCGGGTAAACGCTTTGAATTAAATGCAATTGCAATTGCATCATTGCTCCATCCGAGTTGCATTTCAAATGCGAGCCACATAAACAAATGGCCGCCATCTGCAAGTGGGATAAACGCTCTGAAGTGTAAGCATTTAACTACTGGCTGCTAGCCCCAATAATGGCCAAGTGGTTAACTTCAGTTGACCCTGACTTCGACCGTAATCTTTAATGGAATATGGAATATTGTAGCCATGGCAATTGCACGGCACATTAACTTTGTGATAAATTTACTGGTAAGTAGGTTAAGATCAGAAAAGTTAACTTTTTGTAACTTCACAAGAAACTTCTTCATTTGATAAACGTACATAGTTTGTTAAACAAAATATTAAATTTGTTTTGAGAAAATTTATTTCTTAGATGAGTACAGTACAGTCGAATCCCGATAATTCGTACCCCGCTAAATCGAAAATCGCGATAATTCTGTTCCCTTGAAAAAAATCTCGATAAATCGAATTCCCGTCTAATTCGTAAAAAAGTGATCCCCTTGCTATTTCGAATTATCGGGACTCGACTGTATAAGGTTTATTTGGAAAAAAAAAGTACTGCTCAGCTAAATAAGTTAATAAAATTGTCCTTCTAAAATTTAAGTAGACTTAACAATGTTAACCATTCAAAAGGCAATCTTAATTCAACTATATATAATATTTATATACTTCCGCTTTGGTTTGGTTGTAATGAAAACATGGCGCAACTTAAAAGTTGTTTGTCTTTAAATGGAACAACACGTACAAAACTTCCTACATCAAAAAACTTATTAGTCTTTCGGGTTGTTAACAGTTTAAAATAAGCGTTTAAAGTCCTGAAGCTATGAACATATTTAATGTTGAATACCGACTCTCCTGATTATAGGTTTTAAAAGATTTAAATAATTTCAAACTTCTGGTTGTAAGCCCATATTTGCAATATGTACTGCAAAAACTTGTCTGTTATCCTAAAACATGTTGTTGAAATAGTTTTTTAGTTACACATTTAAAAAACTTGGCTGTGTGGTGAGCTTTCTCCCGGGCAAACAGACCATGTGAAATGGCGAAGAACCCTTCTCCAAACTCAGCCATTCAGCTCGGCTCCACTGGCTGCCTCACATCGCGTCACTCACAACATCAGACACCAAATCAAATCGCCTCGAATCAATTTCTCCTCGGAGAAGGGGAAGTGGGCCACAGTAGAAGTGGCTGGCCAATATGGACATGGGCCACATTTCTGCCCCAACTCCGGAATGCGCCCATCGGCGTGCGAAGAAATGCAATTAAAATCCCAACGCGGATGCATCACACGTTGACTGCAGATTGCTGATTGAAGGAGTACTGGAGTGCTCCTAATGGATGCGGAAATCTAAGCGATAGGCAAATGCAGCCAGGCTCCTCCAAATGGAGCATTGCGTAATGGTCCGCCGCCAGACGGGAAGTGTCACAGATCTCATGTAAAACTGCCAGCGAATGTAGGCCGAAAATGAAATTTCGAGTGTCGTCGGGAGTCAGGAAATTGTCGGTACTTCAGAGGAGTCTGTATCTCCTCCTCCTCCCGATTCCCCTCCCGAGTTGGTCAATTAGAGAGAAACGTGTGAAATGCTGTCCCCTCAAAACCCACATCCCCATCCCCATCCCCATCCACATCCACATCTACAACCTCATTCACATCCACATCCCCATCAAAGTCAAAGTCCGATGACAATCATGCTCACTCCCAGGCAAACTTCAATCTTCAATGCGTGTTACCGTGTTACCATATCGCTGTCATTCCAAGTCGTCCGGACTAAATGTGCTCACCCCTTTACCCCAATCCCCGCCAGATACCCTCACCTTCGGACGACCGACTGCATTGTCATTTAGTTTTTCCATTATGGCCATCGTGTAGATGGTTTTTCTCTTTCTATTTCTCCGCAATTAATTCATCAAACTGGTTGCTCTCGAGAGCTCTGGGAGATCACATCTCCGACTGACTGGCTGCTGGTAAATATTTATAGACCTAAGCTCGTTTCCCGACCTGCTCGTCAGCTTTTCAAAGAAAAATCGCCAAGTCAACTTAACTGGCTGGAGGATTACCGTGGAGCCCAGGACAGAATGGCCTTAGAAATGTGTATACTACTGGGAAAACGACAAGGATGGGGTATCAGAATTTTACGAGCGTTAATTTATTCCTGGGAAAATCGTTACAAAAGATTTAGCAAGCCGAGCAGCCTTTTCAATTAATTAAATAAGTTGAGGAAACTAAATTAATTTCAAAGAAAGTATAAATAATGCCTAAGAATATAAATGTAACATAGTGTTTAAGTAATAGTTCTTAAGTTTTCGAAGCTACAACCCATGTTCATTAAAAAAAAATAAATTCGACAATTTAGGAGAAATTTTCCAAGAGTAATGGGACAGAAAACAATTTTATTTATCAGAGCTTTTAGAACCTTATTTGATTTTTAAAACCCAAATATTAACATAATATCTCAGGCAGTTTTACAACCATCAAATTTGAATTATCATAGTGATTTGTCACTGAAATTTCTCCCAAGATATTGAACTTCCGCCTATAAAATCCGGCTAATCCATCACTCTGTGCTATCCAACCACTAAGGAATCGCAGTTTTCGCCATCTGCAGCACAGTTACCCAGTTGGACCGTTAAATCGCTGGTTCGGTAACTTCTTCACTTGGCTAGAGTCCAGGAATCCCGAGGATCGTGGACATAGCGCGGATCGAAATCGCAATCGTATTTGGAATAGGAGTTGAAATCGAAGGAGACGAGCAACGGCGAACACACGAGGTTTGTCTTCACTGGCTAAAGTCTCGATGCAAACTGATTTAGCGGAAAACTTGCAGGAGTTCAATAGCATAGAAACAGAAAGAAATGCGATTTATTTGCTAACCAGGTTGGCAAATAAGCTGGGAGCCCCGCTGGCGGGAAATGGGGATCGGGGGGGGAGGAAAACAAAGGGGAGGAGCGGTGGACTGGCCAAGTGGAAAAAAGTGGAATAACAAGAAGCGGCCAAGCGGCCAAGCGACCATCGGCTGGCACCGACAACTCGTTTGTCCAGAAACCGAAGAAGCAATAGAAGTAGCAGCCGACAGCCAGGAGAAGAAGCCGCAAATTGCCACGCGCTGCAAGAGCTGGAAAAGCGCTGGGAAAAGCGGGAGTTCCAAGGGGTTGGAGCGGTTGGCAGGCGGAACGTTGACTTACTGCACTCGATGCACAGGAAAAAAATAGTAAGAAGTTGGTAGTACTTCTTCAAAAGAATCCATACAATATCATCAAAAGGATTACCTCTTTAAATATTGTTACCAAATTCTTCCAAATTCTTCTTAAAATAACTAAAGATTATTTCCAGTCAAAATTGTAACCAACTCTGAATCATTGACAAACATTTAGGCACTTAATATCCTTTGATATAAATATAAATATCCTTTAATTAAAATTTAGTTTAAACATTTTCCAAACATCACTTTTATCACTTTAATTTCCTGTGTAGCAACTCACATTGGTTTCGGTTTCCAGTTGCAAGACGCGTGCGTCTGCAATAGTTTTTCTTTTTTCACTCAAAAAAAGTAGAGAAAAACGCTCAAGCGACTTATGCAGTAATGGTGATAATGATGTAAATAATGAAGATTCGGTTTATTAGATAACCGCCTCGGCCAAACTATTCCATTTCGGGCTTTCTTTTGGCACTCCTTTTATTGCGTTTTAAAATGTAATTAGCCAAATTGAATTTTTAAATCCATGGCAAGTTTGTAATAATGGCTAAAGATATTCGACCAACTAATCAGGCTTTGATTTTCTGTTAAATATTTAATTCAACTGAACGAACGATACTTAATTAAGAGTTGTTCTTCTGTATCACAGAAAAAGTCAGCTTATCAATGTGTTGACAACTTTTGGAAACCCGAAACAATTAAACAAAAGCCACAACCGAATATGAGTCAACGAACTCTGTGGGAGATTCGGTCATCAGGAATGCAGATATGCCAGCAAAGGCCCCAATTGAATTTGATTAAAATCAATTGAGATTGATTGCAGCACAAATGTTCAGATAACAAAAACATTCAGCGGATTTTCCCAGTAAGTAAAGAGGCCGTAACCTTTATTCAAGAAAATATAGGAAATAAACAGTCAAATTCAAGAAAAGTGATATATGCAAAACAACAACTTTAAGATTACAAAATAAAATGCAAACTTCTGAACTTCATTTTTACAAGTTCGATAAAAGTTTTTATTGCATTGCAAGTCAACGCAAGCAAACAAAAATTGAATATTAAATTAAATTTGCAGAGTCAAGGATCCTTTTAGAATTCCATTTAATTTTATTTACATTTTCTACGGGAATATAATAATATTTTTGTTTTAAATAGAGTTTTCCTTACCACCCCTGAATTAATTAAAAAACCTTGCTAATCAAATTATTCTGTTTAACAACTTACCTTGAGTACAATGGAAAGACTGCTGGCTGTGGCCGATTCGGAGAAGACACTGTCATGGGATTGCGACAGGGTATCCCGTGAGTAATCACTGAAATCCAATATTATGTGTTATTTAAATCATTATAAGTAGAAATCCCACTTACCCATCCACATCCAGGAGGCGACCTTCGCTCAGACTGCGCTGGCTATCGGATATATCTGCGGCTCCACCTGCTCCTGATCCCGAGCCCGAACCCGATCCCGAACCGGAACCGGATTCCAGTTCCTGGGAGGAATCCCCCACGCTGCGCAGATGCCTCTGCTGGATTCTCTGCTCGGCAAAGTAGCTGCTCCTGGTCAAGCCAATCGAATCTGGGAAGACGGCCACGCCGCCATGTTGTCGCTGTGCCTGGAACATGGCTTCCTGCTGGGATTGCGACTGGGACTGCGACTGGTTTTGGGACTGGGGATGATGACCTGGCTGACCGACCTGGCTGTGATCCTGCTTGCTGGCCCGCTTCTTGCCAAGGATCACGCTCAGCAACTCATCGCGATGGGAGCCGTAGGACTTTGACTTGGGCAGCGATTGCGTTTGGTAGCTCTCCGTTTGCTGGGGACTCAGCGGCGATCCTGGCGGGGATGCTATCCCGCTGCGCAGGTTCTTCTCACTGTTGCTACTCGCTGGCGGTGGCAGAGTGTTGCAGGATCCGGGTCCTGGCGACTGACAGGCTGCAGGACCGTCCGCGGAGCTGTTTATCGTGCGGCGGCGGAAGATTCGGCGCAAATTCCGGAGCGGATGAAACCGGCGGCGCTTCTGCTGCTGTTGCTGATTTTGCTGATCTGCAAGGTCCAAGGAAGATCCAAGAGGAGGATGAGTTAACGCACTTAATTTCAATACATTTTTTGTATGTGTATATGTAAAATCGTGGGAAATGGTGATTTCCAGGCTTGCTGGTGTTAAAAAATCTGTATCTTGTTCAATCTACACCCTTGAAAAGAATTTAATGCTTACGAAATCAGCAAACAAATCAATTTTAATATTCTTAAAATAATATTTTATGATATTATTTTATTTTAGTATGATGGGTTTTAGTCCTGAGAAAAATTAAGGCATTTCAATTCGTACTAAACATGTAATTAAACATGTATTAATTCACATATTTTTATAAGAACTTAAATAATTTTTTGTTTTAAATTATTTTGAATTCAAACACATGACCGTCTCATGACAATAATCTTTTTGGATGTTCCAGGTGACGTAACGAGCTATAAAAATGTCAAGTCAACCAATCCCGAGTCTAAGTGTTCTATTTGATTGACATTGGAGGTATAAATATTCATGACTGAGAGCAAAATCTCTCGAGATTATGTTTTCACATTCTGGCATCGGGAATTTAAATATCAACACGGGAAATTACGTACTTAGAATAAGATTCATATAATTTTATGTAGATGCAAAGCAATATTTATTTAAAAGATGTTTTGAGAAAACAACTCCTTGGAAATTCAATGATGCATTAGTTCACAAAAAAAAACCCATAAATAAACTTCTTACAGTCAACAATATTCAATAACTTCTGCGGAAGTTACCGAAATTCGACTTCCTCAGTTACTCAGCAGTTGAACCAATAGATTGTTTATAGAATGTTTCAGTCATTCGTCAATAAAAAAGATTACTGTATACTAAGAACAAATTGTGAGTGATAAGAAGTAAACAATAAAAAGCGAAAACGATGCGATTGCCTCCAAAAACATGACCATAAATAGGCAAAAAGCTGAAGACCTTTCAATGGGGGAAGTTCCCTGAAGAATGAAAGGGAAATACACAAAGACTGAGAGAGTAAAAGAGATAGCTTATGGGGGGGAACTAATCGATAAGACCGATTGGACACCACGTGCAAAACTTGCGCTAAGAATTATTTGACAAGGTCATATCTTATCTTCTAAAATGTGACAATTTGTATATAATTTACAAATTTGTGGGTTAAAGAACTTAAGTGCAAATTCAGTCAGTGCACATCAAAAAGTATATTATTATCAATAAAATTGGAATTGTTGCATTGGCTTTTATGGTTCTTTTATTTATGGCCGTACACCTTTATAATGTTTGTACAATTTCTATGGCCGATAAGGCAGAAGAAAGAAAAAGAGCGATGGCTGGTAATTCCTTATCGATCAAATGGGAATGAAGAGTACATATGTAGGTACACAATCTGGTAAGTAGGCCCATGCATCAGAGTTAAGTGGAGAGTAAACAGTATATTTTAAAGTTTAAAGGGGATTTCATAAGCATAAATGCTATAATACCATAAGTCCCACTCCTGGTGACCTCATTTTGGGTTTAAACCAACTGATAAACTCTTTAGGCATCTCTGAAATTCGACATCTCTCAAATGACTCATTTTCAACACTTTGTGTGTCATTTCCACAAATGAAAGTTACCCATTGTCGAGTGGAAAGTCTGAATTCCGACTTAAGTAAGCTCATGTACTAATTAGTGAAAAGAACCCAACTAAACGGAAGTACAAGAATTTCTAAAAAAAAAAAAAACATCGAAGAGTTCTGCCAAGAAAGCTTCGACCTCTAATCAAAAAAAACTGTCACGTTTTGAGGCCGCGACACGCGAACCTAAAAGATACTACAGATATACAAAATATATGTATATACATGGATTTTTGTTTATGGCCAAACACATGTGTAGTCATGGATACTCGTGCTTCATTTATGCTTTTTGTTGATGGCTTGATTTTAGTGATTAATTTCACCTGCGTTGGGGCTGGTCATTCATCGCTTAGTCATGGAAAAAAAGAAGTAATTCGCTCTGTAAATATTTCCCGGGGGCAACGTCATTCTATTTATTGCCCTTTGGGGTGTCTGGCTGTCTGCTCTCCCGCCTTCAAATTACTCGGGGACCTGGCTAATGGAATTTTAACCGCCCGGGACGGGGAAATATAACACCCACCCAACCCAACCGAACCACTCTTCCTGCGACAAGTGAAAATTGTTTATTTATGGAATGCCTAATTGGGTCACCAGTCGCACTTTTTTCTCTCGCCGAGAATGAAATTACTTTTTCTTCACTCTTCAGAAATTAATTAGAAAAAGATTCGCTTCTCGTTAATTGAAAAGTTTTTGGGTTTGTTCATCTAAACAGGGGCTGTGATTCACTTCATGAGGCAATCCCGATTACATCAGCATTGTAGATACATTATTTCTAATTCATCTAAAGTCTATTGAGCAAGATTCGTTATTACTTGAGGTTCCCTTATTGTTCGCTCGGCGTTTTTTTGTGCTGTCATCAGTTTGGGTTTCGCTTTTTATTTTTTCGCCAATGTGGGCGAACTCTTGGCTTCTTTGTCATCTTTGGCTTGGTTTCGGTTTTGGTTGGCTTTTGGTAATTCATCAAAGCTGATTTGGGGCTTTTCAATTTGGCAACCCGACGCCTTGGGATTAATGCTCGCTTTAATAGACATTTCGAGTGTCTGGTGGCCACGTGGGCTGTTGTATTTTCGAGGTGTTCAAGTGACACCGTTTGCCATTCGATTCTGAATTCGCGATTTGCAATTCGAAAAAGGTTCGGCTGCTGGCAAGTGGGTTCGTTATTTATTAATTAATCATTGGCGAAAACACAACGTTGCCCCACACTCAACATGCAAATTGTGCAAATCAAATGGCGAACAACTTTTCAGTCAGTTGCAGTAATTGGAGACCTTTTTTTTGCATTTTTTTTCTCTCAATATATTCAACGGATGTGAGCTCGACCAGCTCTTGGGATTGTTGTATTGGGTAAGGTCAAGTGGCCACGCCCACATCCCAACGGGCCGCCCATGTGGGCAGCTTATCCGCTTAACAAGTGCTGAGTTCACTTGCGTGGAATAAAAATAGCAAAAGTAGCTGCTGGCCACCGTGGAGAACGAGAACCCGAAGCCCCCAAAGAGGTAAACAAAAGCCCAAAGAATTGCACAACTCTTGCAGAGAGAAAAAAAAAAAAATAATAAAAAAACAAAAAACGGGTCTGGGGGCCTTCAAATGTTGGTTTTACTTGTGCATACAGTAAATTGCAATGCTGTAAACCTCGTAAACCTCGAGAATTGAATGTTATGCCGATGGATTAGCCAAGGTTCGCTGAGTTCGTTTGTTGGTCAAAAAGAGCAACAAGGCGTATGATTAATTACATCAACACTGCGAATAATCGGTGATTACCCGCAGACTGCTGCGCAGTTCTTTCAAATGGAAGCCGAGATATCGCTCTCGGCTGGTATCGGTGCATTCGCGACTATATAGATTAGGCCTAATGCCCAATAACTATAAATAACCGGGTACTAGAGCTATCAGAGCACAGTCAACCCCACCAAAACAAAAGGAAATTGGCGCAAAGAGTATTTCCCTTGACCGTTTTAGTTCTTATCATATTAAATAGAATTAGTTTTAAGATTTTAAGTCACTTTAAAGTTATTTAAGAAAATATTAAACACCTATTATAGTTTACTTTCTTCATAAGTTAGTATATTAACATATCTCGCAAAAGAAATTAATTGCTTGTACGTTTAGGGAAGCCAACTTTACTTTCAACAGAATACAACACTCCAAAGTATGTACAAAAGAATCTTGAATAATCGATATTTATTATAATTACCAGGGAATAAAAACTTGCCTTATCTAAACCAATAAATATTCCTTGTTTTACCTACATTTTGGAGTGCAATCATTTAATTACTATTTGCCAAAAGAATGAACGCCAAATAAAAAGGTTTTTCTAAAATTTACCAACAGTGTTAGCTTTTTTGTAGTATAAGCAACCCTGCAATTTTCTCTCGGAAGATACACGTTAATTATATATACAAACTGGCTTTCTACAATTACTGTGCTGAATTGAATAGGCGATGTACTTTAGCACCTCTATTCGTGATTTTAGACTTTCCGTTCTAACTATTTTATATAAGATCTCGACCCTATCAATCCAGTTCTCTTCCAGAGAAGCCCTATCGCAAATTTCGAGACCAGAAGACGTCGACTGCAATCAGTCGTCTGCGTGCCGATGGCCACGGCCTTATCAGTTATTAGTTAGCCTGGCCAAAACGAAGTGCCTTGACTTGAGGTGTTCGCACTCGATGGCTACAAATCACAACAATAACAAAGGGAAGCGGCAAATTGATTATACAACCCAAATGGCACTTCAATTAGAGGCGTCTGGCCAATTGGCCCAATCTCCAGCTCGTCGTAACGAGGTTTTCTTTGAGACGCGAGCTCGGATTGAACTCGAACAACATCATCATCATCACCGGTTGATAAGCTCCAAACTCATGTCAAATTACATAATGCTCGATGATTTTGTGGGGCAAATGTGGATAGGTTAAACTATATGCTCATTGGGCGTTTTAATTGGGCTAAACAATTCTGATTCTGTCACAAAAATTACAAACAATTTGAATACAGAATGGAAAGAGGTTAAATTTCTAGTCCAAAAAATATTTCAAAAAAATACAATAAATTTTATTACCTGTTTAAATATGTTTTTTTACGCCAAAAATAGCGGCAGATGTTTTATTCAAGTGAGGAATTCCCGCGAATTGTTTACTCTACTGATTGTTGGCTATTGTAAACAGGCTTGTTTCGGTTAGAAGACACAATATGGCATAAATATCTTTAAGTATATGTATCTGCCTCGCTTTAACTTCACTTCACAGCACCAAACACACCAGTTTGCACTTAGTTCGATGACTCGAATGGTTGGACGACTGGATATGGATGTTTTCCCGATATTATTGATTAAACTTGTGTGGCTTTTGTGTTGCACTGTGTTGTTTCCTTGGAATACGGATTGCGAATTGTGAATTGGGATTCGGATTGCGGGTTTGATTGAACACTGCGATGGAATACGGCGATTGCAATCAGCGACAGCGAAGACAATTCAATTAGTGCAATAACCGGCGCGTTCGGCAGCGAAATTGCCTGTTCACCTGTTCAGGTGGAGCGGAGCGCACAGAATGAATTCAATCAATGGGACAGCGCCAAAAGACCGTTGTGGAAATCGAAACAAGAGACCCCCCAACACCAACACACACACACATACACATACGCACTCGCACACTCACTCTCGGGAACTGAAATTGAAATCTACGAAAAAACGAAACGAAGCGAAAAGGCCGAAACGAACCCCACTGAATAAACTGAATAAAAAAGCTATCCGAAAGAGCGAACGGGCGTACTCAACTGAACTCTCGGCTAAAATAAATTGAATCGAGTCATCGACAGCGACGAGTGCCGGATTGGGCTTATTGGCCAGGTTGTGTTGCCAATTCCGACTGATTAGCGTTTCTTGGCCCACTGCAAGGTGTCTGCAAGCCGTCTCAACAGTTAACAGAGCTATGAGCTGTCACGCTGTTAACAACAGACCCCGCACAGTGGGCCATACAGACGATTTAAAGGGCAAATAAAACAGTGATTAAAACATTAAGAGCCTCATATTAAACTAAGCTAATTTAAACGTTTTTATAACTAAAACATAAACTTCGTATAAAATATTGTTCATTGAGTTCATTTGGAAAACTTGTTTAAATAAAACAAAATTAATAAATTTGAGCACAATGAGAATTTAAATATTTTTGTTATTAATTGGTGGGTTTTATAAAAACAACAACTTATATTTTATAACACCAGATTTTTTTTATGAAGCGATTTTTGATATTTAATCAACGTAAAAAGACAGATGGCAATTGTTTCAGCAATCTAAAATGTCCATCAAATTTTAATGAACCCCATGTACCTGAATTATGATTATTTCGATTACCTGAACACGAGCTTATTAACAGAATGGCAAGAGTATAAAAAAGACAGCCCATAATCAGTTTTAGAGTTAAACCAAAAATGGGAAGTAATCGGCTAGGTTCAGTGTTCGTTAATTTAATATGGTTCTTGCCAGTTATACTAGTAAGTAGATAGTAGCTTTTTTAACTTGCGAGTCTAAAAGATCCTTCTTCTTTCAAAAAAATCAGAGCTGGAAACAATCGTACGAATATATAAATGTGGATGTGGTCAACTATCCCGGGAGAATGTTTTCTACCGATTTAAAATTAATTGGTGGCGATCGTTTGATCAACGGCACTATAGAATTGTTGGCGGATATAACTAACAAGCAGAAAATGTCGGATCAGCTTTACTTGAATTCAGGAGGTGGATACAAAGTTTTGCCCATGATGATTCCCGAAACAGACAGTTGCTCCATGTTACAATTGTACTACAAAAAATTTGTGAAGGACTCTTTCAGGACTGGAATCAATACCAACTTCGATTTTCAGGATGGAAACGTATGCCCTTTTCCAAAGGGCGCTTATTGGATCAAGGACCTTATTTTCGACAACACGGATTGGGCTTCTGTTGTACCAAGGGGTCTTATAAAAAGCAGGATCAATTTTACGGACAACGGTGAGTTCGTCGGAGGTGTTGAGTTTGTTGTCGATGTTAAGGACAAGTACTGAGAAGCAAATATTTTTAATTTGTTTAAAATCTTCGGGCTCAAACAAAATTTTGTTAAAATCATTTAAGAGTTTTCTTTAATTAAATTAAATATATTACAGACAAACAAATTTAATTGCGTTTCCAAAAACAATTATATATTTATTCCCAATAAAAAAAACAATAAATTAAACTATTTTAGACAATTTTAAACAATTTAACATCTTTTTTGTTCGTATTCTTTAGCAATTGAATTGAATTCGGAATCTTTCTAAATTGAAACAAATACAAAACAATAACAAATGATATTTAATATTAAGTAGTGATTATTATGTTGTAATTAATAGTTTAATTTCGTAAAAAAATCTAATTTAATTAGGTTACATATGTAAAACAAACAAATTGACTAAGATTTCACCCACTGTCCAGCGATCCGACACAACCTGCTGTTTATGCACATTTATTCATGTTGAAACTGTGGTTTGCTACATATGTATGTACATACATACATACATATATACTCGGTCCGTTATTGTCGGTGTCATTTCTTTGTGGGTGTTGTCATAACAACCGCGGCTCAAGCGACCCGAAATGGATAATGCTTCCTATTCCCATTACGAATCCAAAGCCAGAACCTTTGTGGTCGATTTTCGCTCTGCATTTGCATTAAGTGTAGAAAGTCGGGGGCGTTAATTAGCACGTGTAGCTAGTATTACCCACAATTATATAAACATTATCCAGTTATTCAGTTGTTGGTGGCCACATGAGGGCGAACCTCACACAAACAAACAAACAAACAAGACAAAGCCCGGTTCACATGTGAACTAAGTTACATACATACATAATATGGCTCAATCTGAATTTACGAATGTACATACAATGTTTTATGGCCCCTTTATCTCATGTTCATTGTATCTGCATCTGCATCTGTGTTTGCATTGTGGGAGGTGGCGTCAACAAACCAAAACTCAAAACACCCATCAAATTATGCACATACGAAACAACCAAACAAACCAGCAAGCGAAATCTTTCATCTCTGTACTTTGTTTTCAACAAACCATCTGGCAAGTCGGATAAGCCCCAACATTTGTAGGGTGCTTACAATAGTGCGTCTTTGTTGGGACTTTTGCACACTTTCCTAACTATTTGAATCTGCAGAGGGTTCACTACTATGAACTCTGCCAAACCGCCAAACACAAAGATGGAGCACTCAGTTTTTCAAGGAAGAGAAGGCGAATATCTCGTTTCAGATGATCGATGGCATTGCTCGGAAAAGTGATGTAATCCAATCGCTGCTTCGTTTTGCCAAGGCTGAGTAAAGGGAGTCCATTATGTACAATAATATGCAAACGTCTTTGTCTTACATTCATAAATGAATTCATATTTCCACAGGAAACATCTTTTTAAGCGATAAACTTTACATCTCAGTTTTGCTTTTTGGGATACTTTAATGAATACTTTTACTTATATTTTAAGTATTACAGATATATTACAAAGTGATTTTTATTTACATAAAATATTTTGCCTGAAGTAACACAAAACAATTACGGGCGTAAAAAAGCTTTTAATAATAATAAATTTAATAAATTCAATATTAAATAAATAATTTTTCTTGGTGTTTTCTACTGTAGAATTTAAGCTTAATACATTAGATGAAATATCAAATGCACGATATTAAAAGGTATTTCATTCAATACCTTTTCTAGTAAACCATAATACGTATTTTTCCATAGAAAATAACCTTTTTTTTTGGCAAGAACCTCAAAGGTAACTGTGACGTTTAATGGCGTTGAATATTTTTGCAATTCCAAGTCAGAGCAAAAAGCTATTCAAAAACCCATAAAGCATCCATAAAGCCAAGGTTAACCCCTGTCGAACTGGAGTCAACCTCTGGGGATGCCAATCAAACGGAGCCCCAATCCTTTGGCAATCAGGAAGCCTTTTTCGCAACCCATGTCCTGCGGGATTTGCCTCGATATGAAGAAAATATGAAGCAAGCACCTTCGGTATTGCAAGCGATTCCCGGAAAATGAGAGCAAAGGCCCCTTAGCCAATTTCATAAGCCCACAATCCGCACTTGAATGATTTAATATCGCCGCCTAACGAGAAATTCCTGCCCAGAAATATTGGGATATGTTTGTTTGTTTGCCTGTTGGCTTCGCTTGTTTCTTGTTTGCTTAGTTTTGTGGGGTATTATGAGAGCAATTAGGTAACTCAACTCACCGCCTGTTGGGGATTGGTGGGCATCGTTTCCCGGACTGGAGATGGGCGTCGAGGTGACTGCGTGGGCGTGGGCGTGGGCGTGGCCCTCCGGCAATGACAATGGTCCCGCTTGGCAACTGGCATCCAGCTCCGATTCCAGCGGCGGTGAGTTTTCCCTCACACACGACATCAGCCCGGAAGACATTCTGTTTTTCGAGAGGGGGAGAAAATAAAACAAGAAGAAAAACTATTTGTAATTGCCATTTGAAAATATGCGGAATATTGTATCATCTATGTGATGGAGAGTTGCTAACTCTTCCGCGTGGTTTCTACATTTTCTTCTGCGGTTTCTATGGAGAACTCCTAACTCAACTCGACCCATCACTCACCTCAGCTGACATCCTGCAACATCGCGCTAATGGATCTCCATTATGGCGGTGTTCTGGGGGAAATTAAATGTCATATTGCATTCGCGATAAAAGCCACGCAAACCTGGCAGAAACCCAGTTTTCCAGGTGACAGTCTTCAGAGTGACAGGGCAATTAGGTTAAAGAGTCCTTAAACTAAAGTACATAATTCGCATTGTTGGCTTATTAATACAATTACTTGCTTAAGACTGTGCAATTTGTTATAATATGTTTGTTAATTTAATTTGTTTTCATCAATCAATATCTAGAAAAATAAAAGTTCTTTCTTCTGTTGTAATATTTGCGTTTTTAATTTCAGAGTAATTGAATTATTTGTTTTTGTTTCATAGTCATTATATAAAGGTAAATGTCAATTGTTCCAGCAATCTGTAGTTTCTATCAGATTTAAATGGGCTTCATGTACCTGGATTATGATTATTTGGATTACATGAACACGAGCTTTGGAACAGATTGGCTGGTGTATAAAAAAGACAGCCCATAATCAGTTTGAGAGTTAAACGAAAAATGGAAGGTAATCGGTTCGGTTCGGTATTCGTTTATTTTATAATTCTAATAGGGTGCATTCCAGTTATACTAGTAAGTAGATATTTGCTTCTTAAATGGATAAATCTTTTGATCCTTTTTCTTTTCGAAAAAATTAGAGCAGGAAGCAATCGTACGATGCGCTAAATGTGGATGTGATCAATAATCCCGGAAGAATATTTTCCACAAACTTAAAATTAGTTGGTCGCGATCGTTTGATCAACGGCACTATGGAATTGATGGCGGATATAACCCACAAGGAAAAAATATCGGCGTTTTTTTACTCGAATTCGGGAGGAGGATACAAAATTATGCCCCTGATGGTTCCCGAAGAAGACAGTTGCTCCGTGATTCGATCGTACTACAAACAATTCATAAAGGACTCTTTTAAGCTTGGCATCAATACTGACTTCGATTTTCGGTTATGCCCTTTACCAAAGGGCGTTTATTGGTTCAAGGATGTTTCTCTCGATAACAGGAATTGGGTCTCTGTTCTACCAAGGGGTCTTATGAAAATGATTTTAAATTTCACGGACAACGGAGAATTCGTCGGAGGTTTTGAGTTTGTTATCGATATTAAAGACAAGTACTAGAAAACACATTTTGTAAGTCTAATAAAGATTTTCGATTTATAGATTCACTCTTGGGCTCTAACCAAATTTTGTTAACATAACAGTTTCTTTTTTAAATTGTAAATAACATCAATAATAATTGCGTTTTCCAAACCCTTTAAATAAGTATTATCATTCATATAAATAACGATTAAGTAAGTCAATTTCTAATTAGTTTCTATTTGTTTCAAAACTGTGAACGAGTAAAAAAAATTTTCCAATTGTCTTTAATAAATTAAAAGTCTATTATAAAATAATATAGTCCGTCGAAAAAACTATATACATTGGGTTTAATGTGTAAAATAAACAAATTGAAATGAGAATAAACAAAATCTGCTAGAAATTACAGGTAATACTGCATTCGCAAAATTCGCAATCTTCAGTGTGACAGGGCAACTAGGTTAAAGAGTCCTTAAACTGAGGTATTTGATTCGCATGTTAACTTATTACATAGTACAATTACTGGTTTACTTGGTAATTTGCTGTCTTCACTTTTTAATTATAGATAATAATATAATGGGTTTACTTGACAGATTAATGGCGAAATTAAAGTAATTGGCTGTCCACTGAAGACGGCATCAAAAAAGATTAGAAATTCAGTTTGAAAATAAGTAAAATAATTTAAAAGCTTTTCAAGGAAATTATGTTATATAAAAGATTGCTTTAAACAGAAATATGTCTACTAATATTTGCAGATTTTATTGAATTGGTAATTGTTCGGATGACAGCGCTTTAAGATTTTCGTTGTAAGTTTTATATTAAATATATTAACTGATGTACAATTTCTTAAAATTATCCAGACGCAGGCAATTCAAATGAAATGAAAGAATTTTAGATAGGCACAAAAACCAGCAGACAAAAGTACTATTCGAGTAATGTTTTAATTATACACCCAACTAAATTGAATACCTTATTTCTTAATAAATAATCAAATGTTCAATGTCTTAGCTGCTAGTATGAATCACAGAGATTTAAATGCCATAAATGACTGTTTCTTAATCCCAATCCCTGTCCTCAGTTCAGTCAACCCACTTGATCACCCAGAATCAACCAATAAATAAATGTCGTGGCCCGAGAAGAGCAGAATGCATTTTCCATTTGCTCAGTGGATTCCCTCGAATCGCTTTATAGATTCGCGGCTGAGCCAAAGGCATTTCAAGGAAAGCTATTTTCATCTAGGAATTTGCCCCTTCAGCTGAACTTTGTGGCCTGCAGACGATGTGGATTTGGATGTTGGATGGTCTATGTGCATATGCCTTTGGCTCTTGGTCTGTATTATGTATTATGCTGCCTTTGGCTTTATTTTGCCTTTATTTTGGCGCCGACGAATGGGATGTGAGTAATGGCTTCCCGGGCGGATGATTCATGCCAAGTTCGGGGATGCCGAACACTCACAGACGTTTTGAGATTTATGTGTATCATATCGGGCAGTCCGTGGTGAGTGGGCAGGAAAAAGATGTTTGACCATAAAGTTGATTTACAATTGATTTGAATTGAAACCAAACATTTAATATTAGTCAAACTTTTGATGATAAATTACTGAGAATTCGGTAAACACTGAATGGGTTTTGTGTATTTTACAAAAAATTGGATTGGATCTCAACATTTAATTTATTACACATTTTATGATAAATTGCTAGAAGTACTATAAACATTGAATAAGCTTTGTACATTATTCAACATTATTAAATTGATTTACAAAAATTCAAATTAATTCTGTGGTAAAAAACGTATTCTTCACGTAAAAAGAATTTCTGTAACTTTTCCGAAAAAATGTAAGCCTGTAAATTTGTATTATTATTTGTATTTTTTTAAATGTCCATGTTAGCTAAAAAATTAAATTCTTTTAAAAGCCCAACAAAAAAATAATTTTTACCTTTGATAAGACTTGTTTTTAAATGTAAAGCTTTTAAAGTTTTTGTTTTGTTGAATTCTAAATTCGAAAACACCAGAGCTGCTTTGAACTTTGTTAAATTATTTAGCTACCTGCTTTACCTGCGATTAGTGCCGCGTTTAGCTGCATACTTTCAGGCGGCTTCCCAAACTGCGTTCACAATCATCGCGAGTAATTAGTGCGGCTGAGGGCGAGGGATTAACGCTCCAAAGATCCCGCGAGTTAACCCAGTTAGCCGACTTGTCCAAATAACGCGTTCAGCTGACATTTGACCCCTTTGGGGCAACAAGAACCACCCACATACACACAAACACAAATGTGTACGTGTTCCGTGTGCACAGAGAATTTGATGTGCTAATTAGTGGGGAGAACACGCCCCTTTTGGCACTTTGCCTCCCCTTCCTCCCCCCTCAAAAAAAAAAAAAAAAGCAAGCGCAAATTGCAGTTTAAGCGTTTTTTGCGCATCGAAATGGAAACTGCAGCCGCGGATTCCGTGTATTCGTGTCGACACTCGTGGGTGCATGGGTGCAGTTGATGAGATGATGAAGAGCTCCCTAATGATGATGATGGAAACCACGATGGCGATGGCGATAGTGATGACGATGACGAGACGATGATGTTGATTGGAGCAGACAAATGAGCAGCACGGCCAACACAACTGGAAAATGTTCATTTCGTTTCGAGCATCGGTTAATTAAACGGAATGACTGCATTGGGGGGTCTCGCTGCCATATAGACGACAGTATATATTCGTTTATGGGGAGGAATGGACCGAGGAAGAGTCCACTAAATGCGATTTGACATTGAACTTGGGGGAATGCCAAGGCGAAATTCATTTAAGCTGCCAATTTAGCCGGACATGTAGGGGGAATTAGTACGCTAATAACTATGGTTTATGACTCAAGTTTATTTCTTATTTGTACGAGTACACTTGACATTTTTAAATGCGATATAGGATCATAAATAATACATCCTAACCTTTCATTAATTATTTTTGTTAAAGTTAGCATATATATATTCTATATTATATGATCTAATTTTAGTGCATTTAGATGCGATTAGTTGAATCTTCTTATTTTCGAAAATGAATTGGGGTGTGCACAATAATTTTTGTCGTTTAAATACAACATATTACCAAAGGTTCGATTCCCTCTTTTACTTTTTCTTAGGGTATAAAAGAAAAATGTTAGCTCTTGGCTGAAATTTTCCCTTCATTTTAAAGACCATTAAAATCTCATGAAAATTGCCAGGCGGTAATTGATTAACAGCCCGAAAGTATGCCGCATTTTCGAGGCAGACAAGCCGCAGTATAAATGCCACCTTTGATTTCCTTCGCCGCCAGATTTTCCAACGTTTTTCCACCGAACCGAGGCCCGGGGCAGACGGAAAATTAAGACTTTGTCTGGCTTTTTTATTTTACCATTTTTTTTTAGCGAAGCCGCAGAAGTAACTCACCGCCGTCACGCAGTTTTTGCCGGCGGAGTCGCGAGCTTGTATCTCAACGTGCAAATCTAACAAATTAACTTTGACTTTCATTTGCATTTCGCAGATGAGCACACACACTCGTTCGCAGCTCACTTGGCAAAGTGGGCAAACACACTGCAGGGAAAATGACTAAAATGAAAATGAAAACGAAAACCAAAGGAAAACAAAGCCAAAACCAAAACAGATACGTATAAAAGGTGAAAAAACAAGAAAAATAAGCAGCAGTGTAACAACAGCGGCCGCAAACTATAATTATGTGTGGCATTTGCATAGGCCCAGCCAGCGAGTTGGCTCTATAGTATAATTGCACTTGCTCATTACACAAATTTGCCAACTTAATTACGAAGAGGCCCAGACAATGGGCCAGGAAGGAAGCCCTTTTGAGTCTCTAACCCCGAGGCGAACTCTAACTCGAGGCGAAAAGCAAAATGCGAGCAGCGAGATTCTCGACCATGTTCAAGGCATTAACTTTACGAAGGAAAGTAATTATCAAGTCAGTTTTAGGTAATTGATTTTTGCTAATTGATTGGAAGTGAGATGTTATTTTCATTAATAATTTGAATTAAAATATGAGATACAACTAAGAATGAAAAGGGTTTTTAAGAAACGTTTTAAGATACTTATTTTAAATGCCTTATTTATAAATTGAATAGAAAAAATTATATTCTTGCCCGTAAAATATTCTGCAGTCTTATGTTTTCTTTCTTTATATGCTAAATTGAAAATAAATATATTATTTTTCAGATTAACTAGGTAAGTTGTTTGGCCATTAAAATGCTTTCTCATTAAAATACATTAGAACACTATTTTGGATGCTAAGAAAAAATATAAATTCTACAGATAATTAGGCTGTTAGTCTTGCCAGTTTTTTAAGCTTTCAAAATAAGAACTTGTCTTATAGCAAATACCAAAAATCTATTTAAATTTTGGATTTGTGTAAAATGTACTTATTGCCATTATATTTTACTGATCATCAGAAAGATCGCTATGTTAACCTGAGCAGATGCATAACTTAGTTAAAGATTTTTCCCCAAGTGGCTATGTTACCGACACTTCAGCACAATTCCCAATGGCCAGCAGTGGTCAGCAGGCGTCATTGCAAAACGGCCAAGTGGCATAATGGCCAAGCTAAAGAGCCAAAGAGCTGGACAAATTGAAAAGGAAAGTGCCCCTGACCGGAAAGCTCACACAGTATCTCGGCAAAGGAAAAGCAAACAAGCGAGCAAACAGCGGACAAAAGTGCATGCTCATCGCACATCAAACAGTGCACAACCTCCGGAGTATTACCACATTTTATTTCCAGCCAGCTGAATGGATCTGTCATCAGTTTTAATGACCAGGCTTCTTCGACTTCGGACAAAAAACGCGAATTGGGGGCGTTGGTGGCGACTTTGAAGGTCGTCTCAAGCTGTGAAAATTCCACGGCTGAGTCTTAAAATGCAATTTAATTACCGAAATCAAAGTGGAAAGGAAATTGGAAATGTGGTTTCATGCAAATTTTGGTTTTATTAATTCGAATTAGCCACACTTTCATTTTCTCTATTGCCAAATTGATTTAAGATTGTTTTTGTTTACATTTCCAGCCATTTTATTGAGGGTCTACAGTGAAAACGCTGGGAAATTTAATTTATGTTTATTTATGGGGCAAGAGATGGATGTCTAATACAGTTAAGTAATAAATGGAGAGGAAGAACATTAATATTTCAGATAGCATTTGAACGAGTGGAAGGCCATCGGCAATAATTTACCAGCTTCAAAAAGTTTTGAAATGTTGGACAAATATTGCCAACTGCGCAAGATGCTGATAAGGAAATGAATTAGCAAATTGGAACTGGAAGAATATATGTTTTTTAGATATATATTAAGTTGATAACATACACAAACAAAAAAAAAGGAATATTACATACAAAACTCTGAAGATAACAAAGTGCCAGTACATAAATCTCTATAAATTCAATTAAAAATCTTTACCATTCAAAACTAAACACTTTGAACAGCATTCTTTCCAAAGACTTAATTCAGCATTTCCTTGAGTAATTATACACTATTTGTGCTTGATATTTATTCATTAATTTGAAATACGATCCCAAAGCAATTAAGTGGGGTTCCCAAATGCCAATAAATTATCCCAGAGGGAGAAGGTGTTTCCGTTTTAAACCATTGTTTTTTCGCCTAAGCCCACTTAATCTCATCTCCTTCTATTTGATTGGGTCTCTTCAGGCGGCACTCGTGTTTATACAGTGCCTATTTTCGCTCCATTTGACAAATGCGAACTTTGAACCCGAGGCCCATTTCATGGGGCACACGAAAGTGTCCCCACCTTCTTATCAGTCAATCTGTGTATGATAGATGGAAATCGATGGAATTCAATAGGAGGGGTCAGAAAAACGTTCCGATAAGAGAGGTTTCCATAACGATGATGATGATGATGATGATGATGATGATGATGATAATGATGATGATGACGCAGCATTCGCTGATTCAGAGATTCTAAAGCTGATGCTGTTGTTGACTTATTTGCTGTTTACTTTTGCGTCGTTTAAATTGATTGCCAGATGGGATTGTAATTTTCCCCCCATTTTTTTTTTTTGCCCTTTACATACTGCAGATCCAGATCCAAATCGGTGGGACTAGCTGACATTGCGGGGGATCTTCGCCGTTCACCATGAAAGCACTTTTAAATGCGGCCTGTTTTTACCCGTTTTTATATAGTTGCCTTTTTTTTATTATTTCATCCGCGTGGCCACAACTTGTGGCTGCTGGCGAAGTGAGCGACTGAATCTGAATCGGAATCTCTGTCTGGATTCCGCAGCGCCGAAGGGTAAAGCGATTTGCCAGCAGTGGGTGGAATCGGGGAGGAAACAGGGGGGGAATCGGGGTGGAATCGGGGGGTCCTCGAGTGCGTTCGTGCCCAAGGTCAAGGAGCGCAACTGCGAGATGACTCTCTCGGTTTCACCACTGCCATCCCGCTCTCTCTCATTTTGCATCCTTCTTGCTCGCAGCATCATTGCTCATGAGGTTTGACATGCACTGGATTTATGTTGCCAAGGATTGTGAAACCAAAAGATGTTTAAAGAGGACTGCAGAAAACCAAGTTCGAGAAATAAAAACCAAGTGTTCTAATCTTTTCAATAATTCTTAGTGAAAATAAATGTAAACAATTTATTCTTAATTTAATCTTTTTCTATATTATTTATTCCTGATTCCTGGTTCGAAATAATGAGAAACTTTAATTTTAATTTTTTTGAAAATGTTGCTAAATCGTAAAATTAGCTTTTATTTCTTCGGATAAGGCAAGCTTTTAACATGTTTAAACAGTGCCAAAGTCATGTTATTATCCTATTCTTTTATCCAATTTATATTGAAAATGTTTTTAAATAAAAAATTTACTTTCATTTCGTAGATAAAGTTACAGAAGTTGAACTTAATAGAACGATCTTTTTTATGACCAGAAGGAGGTTAGACCATATAAGAAAAATTTCATTTGGATCGGGTTTACGTTATAAAACTTGCTATGCGTATAGCTAGAATGTATTCAGCATATCTGCTCTAACCAGTTTTAACTTTTTAATAGTTCCACAAGAAATATAATTTATCAACCAAGTCTGTTCTGAGTGGAATTTTTTAGCCAGAAAATTTAATGAAAAAATAGTAATAAAAATGTTGCTAGCCAAATGTTGCCAGGACCTTCGTAACTCTGCCTCTCTCATTGCGCAATCGCATTTCCGGCGACAGAAACCAAAAGTGAATCCACACACAACCATTTAAGTGTTCCCCTGCCAAAACCAAAAAGAGAGAGCCTGACCTAGTCAACGAAATTGTCAGAAGTCTGTCACTGGATAACCAAATAAGGCAAAAGGAGCCGACTTCCTTCCTCTCTGAAACAGAATCCTGGTATCCTTGGGCCTTCTGTTTGGAGGGTGGCCAAGTCGGTGGAAATTTTCCGCAAGTGCTCAGCCTTTTCCACCTTCTTGAAATTAGTGAAGGAAATCGCCGGAGTAAAATAATGGGTTTGGCCAAGTTGAGGCATCAAAAGCGGAGGACAACACAAGGTTGTTTGTCTTTCTGTTCGCTGAATTATTGCTTCTTTTTGGCGAGAAGGGGTTAAGCCGTGAACGCTGTTTGGGAATATGGGTTAATCAGTTTGATTATACGCTTTGAATTGCACACAGATTCAAGGTCGATCTGCACCGAAGGTCTTGTTTTGGTTGCCTGCAAACAATGAAGGCGAAAATGTTATTGTACTCAGAATAAAAACCCCAAAAGCGAAGCTCGCATTACCATAACAACAGCGACGCCGACCAGGTGCGAATAAGTGTATATATTAACATATATACACCCGTACACTTTACACTTTAATGCTGCACGTAGAGTGACATTTGAAGTGCTCCCTCCATAAACATAAATTTACCTAATGCCAGCCAGACGAACAAAAAGTTGGAACCCAGAGACATAAAAAACGGTGGGTTATCTCTCCTTCGGGTGGCTTATTTTCTTATTTAAGAGCAGCATTCTTGAACCCAATTTGAAATGCCTATATATTGTAGAATTTAAACAGAAGTACTTAGCCAGATCAAAGCGAATTATGATAATGGCACGCTATTTAACCCGCAATGTGTTTCCCAACCAGAGAAGCCATTTGGAATCATTGCCCAACTCACCTGATTTCGCTGGAGTGGATTCTGAGGTCTGTTCAAATTAATTTGTTTCAGGCAATTCGATGATTTTCCGCCTTCCTCGATTGTGTTTAGATCGTTTTGGTTGTCGTTACATTGTTCGAACCGCTTTTGTTGGTGGTCTGAAAAGAGGAGGCAAAAGCATATTGAGTAAATAGCATTTGGGGGCGAAGTGATGCAATCGAAATGTGTGAGCTCCAAGGTTGGATCAGCTGGCTTTTGGGGGACACATGTGTGGGGCATGTGTATCCCCAAGAACTGTAAGCTATTTATGAACTCATCAAGTTCATGTTCATCGAGAAGCGAGATGATCTATGACCAAGGGATTTGTGTAATTGTTGGAGAACAACACACAAAGATTAAATGTGATCAGTAATTATTAAATTAATATGGTTAGTGGGAAGTTGTTTAACAACTCTATTATTGGGTTAACATTATTATTTAATCTCATAATAAAAATCATTACTTCAAAATTCATTACTTATTATAACTTTTAATGGGTTTTTATTCCATTAAACGAATTTATAAAACTTCACTTGTTAAACAATGAACTAGAAATTCTTTAATTTAGGATCATATTTAAGATTGTAACAACTGCAATAACCTCCTTATTATTTCCAGTGCCGTTAAAAAATCTCCTGCGTTAGAATCAATCAACACATTGGTCGGTCAATGACCCAAAAAGGGAACATGGACCCCTGGCACAATCTGCCTCCCTTCGTCGACGTCTCCTGGTTTTCCCAGCCCATTTGGCCATTGATAACGGCGAAAGTCGACCGTAAATCTTGATTATCCCTGGGCACTACAATGGCTGAGAACTAAAGACCCGAACAGGCGCATTACGTAAGGCTTGAATACCAAAAACAGACTTCATTTTGTCACGTTTCAGCCAAGCCCGTGGCCAAAGGAATTTGCACATTGGGCTAGGCCTCTCCTTCTCAAAATCCCCTTTCCCATCCCCTTCCCCTTCTTCTTTAACCCCCCTTTGCCCCACCAGCTTAACCCCTTTGAATTTGCATATCCATATCGCATATCATGCGGTGTATTGAAAGCCGGTGCCCCATTATAAGTATATGGTATATGGAGCCATCCCCGCCGACTTCCTTTCGGAGCCCCTCAACCCAGCTGGTGTGTGCGTGTTCTCAGCTGATTTGCATAGAAATGGCCCGGCTAAAATGTCGATAGGAGCGAAAAACCGCAGGACGGGAGGAGGTCAGTCCTTTATGAGAAAGTAAGACTCGCCTGCAGCATGTCTGCAATTAAATAACGCCCAAATAACTCGGTTAGCAAGGACGAAAGGATATTGAGTTAGGGGTTTTCTGAACAAAACAGCACAGAAACATTAAATTTCAATCGAATTTTAGTTCCTCACACTTTAAATGTTTCCTAAAACATTTAACCAACATTCAAGAAAGATATAAAAAATTAAAGGTATAATTTAATTTATTAAATAGGGGAGTATTTAACCTCTTTAAACGGAAAACTAGTTAATGACAAAAAAAAAAATCTAATTTGGTTTGACAAAAAGTTTTAATCTTTGAAAATCAAATTTCCCTTTAATAACTAAATTTAAACACAGGGTAGTAAAAGATCATCAAAATAGGTTAAAAATGCTCAAATCGAAAACAAAACATTTTTCAACGAAATCGTTATGCACTTTACCATTTCCGATGCAATCTTTACAATAAAATCGCTGGTTGGCAGTGAAACTCTACCCATTTTACAGACTGCAGACCTATCATCACCATCAATCGCCGAAGAGGAACATGAAAACTTGATCTGGTTTCTACGCATTTCCACGTACCATCCTAAAAACCATTTGAGATCGAGCACTCGAGCTGCTGCCCACAGCAAAGGGCTTTTGTTAGATGAGTGTTTTATGCAAATTGCGATCGTCCGAGTATCGCAGTATTCCGGATTTTGGACTCCGGACTGGCCCAGTGGCTTAGAACGAGGGGTAAACTTTCACTGAACCCACACGTGAGTCGGCCCTTGGTTATCTAATTGGATTGTTCGTGGCTGGCGGAGATTAATTGCAGGGGGAGATCGCTTTTTTGGAGGGTCTTCCAAGATGAGCACTCACAATGGCCTCGAAACAATGACGAAAAGTAAAAGTTTCTGTTTGGGCCATCGAACAATGCATCGAGTGATGAATCCATGAATAAATTATCCGAGCTCAGATTCTAAACGGGTTTTTGGTCCGCTTTTATCGGTGCTTGGTGCCATTAATTTATGCACTCAAATCGATTTGTTTTTCCCGTATTTTTCTATAAAACTTAATTGAATTTCGAGTGCCATTAGGCTCGTTTTCTCTGAACTTGTTTGGTATTAAAACCACAAAAATGCCTAATTCTAGGCGGGAAAATATCCAAAGAACGCTGAAAATGGCAGGGGAAAATGTGAATATCCATAATTAATTTTCTCACTCATTATGGCATATATCAGTTGGTTGTACAAACCAAAAATATACAAGAATGCGAATGGGAAGAAAATTTCCGCACAGCCATAAATATATCCAAACAATATTAAGTGCCTTAAAGAAATATTTGTCTGCTGAAAAATTTTAAAACATTCCGATGGATGCAAACCAAAATAAGGTATATAGACTATGTTAAAAACTATTTATAATATTTAAAAATATAAAATAAAATACATTAAAAAACCATAAACAACAAGCAGAATGTTATTATTGACATGAATAATTTTTGTTAAAAGTATTGTTAAGAAAAAACCAGTCATATTTACTATTTTTCTTTTCGTTTACAAAATGTTATTCGCAGAAGAGCGACTAATTTTTTTTTCTTTTACCAATTTGACTGCTTATTCCGGGATATTATGGCTCACTTTCTCGCTCACTTTTTCCGTTTGGCAATCGCCGCAAATAGGTCAGTTCAGATGGGGGTTAGTGAACTCTCTCGCCCGCCGGCAAAATGTATTTATGGAAAATTTGTCACATAACTTCGCTGGGGCAGAAATGACGCCAGCGATTGCGAATTTAAGCGAAGACCGAAGACAGAATTTGCCCAAAGTCTGGGGTAATGCAACACTTCAATGCCACATAACTCGTAAGTGGAGTAGTAATAAAAGTAAAACCGAAAAACCGAAAACCCGAACTAGAAACCAAAAACTAAAAACTGGAAACCACAAGACCACATCAAACCAAAGGCGAATTGCTCTAAAAAAAATACGACAACAAAGTTGACTCAAAAAACTTAACAATAACACATCAACTTGGTAATAACATAAACCATTGTTTTGGTTCCCCAACCAATTTTTTATAAAATCAGAAGTAAATTCGGACTTAGAACTTTGAAAACTGTGCTTCTGAAGACTTTCTTTTGGAAAATCAAAGTCATCATTGATGTGGCATAAAATTAACATTTTCAACTGCTTCTCCACTCCATTTCTTTTGTTTTCTAACTCTTTCGGCTGAGTCTTTCCCTTTCCATCCACCGCTTGGTTGGGTTTTCAATCCCCCTTTTTCAAAACAAATCCAAAGCGAAACGATCCCAACCGAACGATCCAACAGAACTTGCCACTTCAGCGGGGGTCCGGCATAAAAAAGTTGAAGAGTTGTGTTGTTCAATAAAGCAGCTTTGCCACTTCACTCCACTCTTTTCCCCCTTTTCGTCTTTTTTCACTGTATTTTCCCCTTTTGCCCAATAACTTATAACAACGCGAAAGATCATCCATGGCCAGATTCTTCACTTCATTCCGTGTTCTCCCCTCGACTCGAAAACTCGTTTCTGTTAATTGTTGCGTTAATTTATATTCTGAAAATAGAAAAAAAGTTACTAGGAGTACGTTCTCCCTCCTTGTTTCGCCCTCAACACCTCTCGCTCACTCTTGCCACACTTAATATGCTCTAATTGTGCTGAAAATATGGTATTGGGTTGATCTCAAAGTTGGTTAAGCGGGCAGACATAAATCCCAATAAATTAATGAAAAAGAATGGTAATAAAATCAAGTATATGACATCTTATAATATAGAAAGAAATCTAAGGTTAATCAATGTTAATTGTTTACTGAATGCTTCGCTGAATGACTCACATAATATGTTGTATATTTTGAATTGGTTAGATCTTAAGTGTTTCTTAAAAAGTGACTGACCACAAAATGTTTATATGATATCGAAAGTCTTCAAGATCAGTTTTTTACTATTTTAGGAGCGTTTTTGACATGAAAAATTAATAATATCAACTACCGCAGTTCATTTTCCTTCTATAGCACCTGAACTGGCCGATCGACCCACCTTCGGAGATCAGTTAGTCATCATTTAGCTGGCCGTTAGTCTCTCGGCTAAACCGCACATCAAGATTGCAGCGGGCTGGGAACAAAGGAGAACCTCGAGATCCCGTCTTGGGGGCATGATCCGTAGACGATCTCCGCTCGAATGGCCGATGAGCCGTTAAATAGAATATCGTAAACCTCAAACCCGAATGGTGATCAATGAAACGAGCACGGACAAGCTGTGGAAACCGGCCTCGCCCCTTGGTCATCGTCATCGTCATCGTGATCGTGATCGTCTTGCCCCAAACCGCTTCATTTTGTTCAACTCGAGTGTAAGTCAATGGGGCATGAAGGAACATGAGCAGCGGAAACCGAACAAACCGAAAAATTGTATTGTTGATATGGTTTTCAAGATCGGTTCCAACTGCCCAAGGAACCTGTTGGAAAATGAAGACACAGGGCGCCGAACTCAGCGGAAGTATGTGGAAATTATGATTCATTATAAAGACGGTTTGGACACAAGTCGTAAATATATATGTCCTGCTGAGATCTTTAAAAATACCATAAAAAGTGTTTTATTCCCTAAACTTCGTTTAAAGCCAGCTGTTAAATTGAATGAAGAAAACCACATATCTTTGGAAATACAAAGAAAATACAAATATGATAATAATAATTAACATATTGTCTTATATACATATATTTTTTTTACTCCAATAGAGTTATAATAATTGTAAATAGAATGAAAATATGAATATCACGCCGCCGTATGAACAACGTATTTCCGTTGTTTTGTTTCAGTAGACCCCACCTTAATTTTGATGACCAATAATTTTCGCTAGCACATACGAAAAGCCAAGTTAACAAGGA